AGAGACCCCCAGTGGTCCACAGCAATGGCTAATCTTCCCAAGGGAGACCCACTCTACCCTCATGAGCCCTGAGACTAACACAGGTGCCTGCCTGAAGACTGCACAAGGGCATCGCTCCAGAGAGGGAGTGCATGCTGGGTCCTGCAAACCCTCGAGTCCGAAGCAGCTGCTGCATGGCACCATTTTGAGAGCCCAATCCCCACCAGAATGCATCCTGCCCTGGGGCCCCACAGGCCCTGCATCTCCACATCCCTGGAGCCCCATTGCATTTGCCACCCACAGCTGCCCCAGCAGGGATGAGGCAGGAGCCACTGGCAGTGACCCCACTTCCCACAAGCAGAGTGGTGGCTGCACATTTTCATAAGTGCTAAGGACAAATCCACTGCCTGCACTGGCCACCACTGTAGGCTTCTGCAGGACCAAGAGGTGAGCAAAACACATTTCCCCCAGCTGCCTATGGCTGCTGCCACTTGAAAGCAACTGTGATGTCCCCAGTAGCATGGTTGTAGCACAGCTGCTACTCCCCCTGCACCTCCGTGCATTCCACTGGTGGCCTGGGGATAACCCCATCCCTGCCTACCACAGTCAGCACCTGCAAGCACCACCAGATGGCTCAAGGACAGTCCCTGGCCTGAGAATGCCATCCAGGGGTCTGGGGATCGCCCAGCCTAGTCCACAACTGTTGGCACCTGAGCACTCCTCCCAGGGTCTGAGGTCAGGCCCATACAACCTACCACTACCACCACAGCTGGCACCCACCTGCACACACCACCTGCAGACCTGGGGACTTGTCTGCCCAGCCCATTGTAGCCACTACCAACACCAGCATGGACTGCATGGGTTCCAGAAGATTGTCCCACCACTGCTACTGGCATAGGCCACACAATTCAGCTGCACAGGAGGTTAAGGACCCACCTAACCATCCAGTCCATTGCTGCCACTCTTGGAACTCAAGCAAGCCACCTGAAGGCCCAAGAATTGGCCACAGTGGCTCATGCCTGTAATCCCAACACTTTGGAAGACTGAGGTGAGAGGAGCACTTGAGCCCGGGAGTTCAAGATCAGCATAGGCAACATAGCAAGACCCCATCTGTACAAAAATAATTTTTAATTAGCTGGGTGTGATGGCTCACACCTGTAGTGATGGCTATTCAGGAGGCTGAGGTGAGAGGACTATTTGAGCCTGGGAGGTTGAGGCTGCAGTGAGCCGTGATTGCACCACTCCACTCCAGCTTGAGTCAGAATGAGATCTTGTCTAAATAATAAAAGAACCAATCTGCCTGGACCCTCTAACACCACTGCCAGCATATGCTACCCTGGGACCAAAAGACAGGCATGCTTAGCCCACTGCTGCCAACACTGGGGCCTGGAGACTGGTCCATGTGGCTGGCAACCCAGTGCCAAGTAAAACTTCACAGCCTACACTGACAACAGCACCCTGAGCCACTGAGGAAATCACAGAAACCATTGACACTGTTTGCAGTTGAAACAATCATACAAAGACTACACTACTTCATGCACCTAGAATCAAAGCCAAAGTGCCTATCCAACCAACGCCACAGACACATCTTCAAGAAAAATTCTTCCCCTATGAAAGCAAATTCAAAACATTGGAAGAAGCGATTATTACACCAGATGTGAAGATCTCAATGTAAGAACACAAGAAACATGAAAAAGCAAGGAAATATGACATAACCAAAGGAACACATTAATCCTCCAACAAAGATCCCAATCAAAAAGAAATTTATAACATCTGAAAAAATAATTCAAAATATTTATCTTACTTTTATTTATTTATTTTGAGATGGGGTCTCATTCTGTCACCCAGGCTGGAAGGCAGTGGTGTGATCATGGCTCAGTGCAGCTTTGACCTCCCAGCCTCAAGTGGTCCTCCCACCTCAGCCTCCAGAATAGCTACGACTACAGGCACACATCACCACATTCCACTTTTTTTTTTTTTAATTAGAGATGAGGTTATCCTTATGTTCCCCAGGCCAGTCTTGAATTCCTGGGCTCAAGTGATTCTCTCCCCTCAGCCTCCCAAAGTGCTGCGATCACAGGTGTGAGTCACTCTACCCAAGCAAAAATATTGATTTTAAAGAAGCCACTCTACCCAACCAAAAATATTGATTTTAAATAAGATAATAATGAAAAACAAAACAAAGGAATCAGAAAAAAATTCAGGATATTAATGAGACATTTTCAAATAGACAGATATAATTTTAAAAAGCAGAAATTCTGGAGCTGAAGAATTCACTGAATAAAATATAAAATAGATTCAAATCTTCAGCAATACACTAGATCAAGCAGAAAAAATCTCAGAACTTGAAGACAAGTCTTTTGAAAGAACCCTGTCAGATGGAAAAAAAAAATATTTGAAAATGAAGAAAACCTACATGACATATTGGGACACCATCACAAGAACAAGTATTAGAATTTTAGATATTCCAGGAGGTGAAGAGAAAACAAAAGGGTTGGAAAACCTATTTAATTAAATAATAGATGAAAACATCCCAAGTCTAGCAAGAGAGATTTGAACATGCAGATTCGGGAAGCTCAGAGATCTCCAAATAGACACAATTTTAAAAGATCTTGGCCAGGGACAGCAGCTCACACTTGTATTCCCAGCACTTTGAACGGCCAAGATGGGAAGAGTTCAAGACCAGCCTGGGCAACATAGCAAGACTCCATCTCTACAAAAAACAAAGTAATTAGCTGGATGTGGTGGCACATGTGAGTAGTCCTGGCTATGCAGTAGGCCGAGATGGAAGGACTACTTGAGCCCCCATTAGCGCTCAAGGCTGTAGTGAGCTAGGATCATTCCACTGAACTGCAGCCTGTGCCACACACTGAGGCCTGGTCTCTAAAAATAAAAATTAAAAATTAAAATTAATTAATTTCAAATATAATGATATAGGTAACTTAAAAGAGAATAGGAAAAAAGATACACCATGTAAATACTAACCAAAAGAAAGCTCAGTGGCATTACTAATATCAGAAAATGCCAGTTTCAAAGAAAATCAGAACAGAGATAATAAACTTATATAAACTATAAAAAGGGCCTGGTGCAGTCGCTCATGCCTGTAATCTCAGCACTTTGGGAGACTGAGGTGGACGATCACCTGAGGTCAGGAGTTTGAGACCAGCCTGGCCAACATGGCAAAACCCTCTCTCTACTAAAAATACAAAAATTAGCCGGGCGTGGTAGCACACACCTATAATCCCAGCTACTCGGGAGGCTAAGGCAGGAGAATTGCTTGAACACAGACGGCAGAGGTTGCAGTGAGCCCTCAAAAAAAACCCACAAAAACACACACACACACAAAACCAAAATTATAAAAAGATCAATTCACCAAGAAAACATAATAATCCTAAATGCTATGCCTCATATATCAAAGTTTCAAAATACATGAAGGAAAAGCTATCAGAAGGGGAAGGAGAAACAGGAAACTCACTATAGTTGAGAACTTTAATACATCTCTCTCAGCAATTGGGAGTGTTCTCAAAGTTATAAAGGGCCTGAGTGGGGGGAAAAACACATCTATGGTGCTGTCATGAAAATCTAGTCTTAGGGAAAAGATGAAGCCAACGTTTATTCTTTCTGTGAAACAGCAGGGCTTCTAAGAATCTGTCGTTTTTGGGCCAGGGGCAGTGGCTCACACCTGTAATCCCAGCACTTTGGAAGGCCGAGGTGGGCGGATCACGAGGTCAGGAGATCCGGGCGCGGTGGCTCACGCCTGTAATCCCACCACTTTGGGAGGCCGAAGTGGTTGGATCACGAGGTCAGGAAATCGAGACCATCCTGTCCAACATGGTGAAACCCTGTCTCTACTAAAAATACAAACAAAAAATTAGCGAGGCGTGGTGGCGGGCGCCTGTAGTCCCAGCTACTCGGGAGGCTGAGGCAGGAGAATGGCGTGAACCCGGGAGGCAGAGCTTGCAGTGAGCCGAGATCGCGCCACTGCACTCCAGCCTGGGCCACAGAGCGAGACTCTGTCTCCAAATAAATAAATAAATAAATAAATAAATAAATAAAAGAATCTGTCATTTTTCCACAGTGGCCTCTTAAGGAGCACAATAAAGAGAAGAGCCTGTGGTGTGTCTTTTGTTTCATTTAATGAACCCTAATAAAATTCACAGAATACACAGAATTCTCAAGAGAATTGTAGTACTTGATGCACTACAAGCTTGAGCTTACAGGGGCAGAAACAGCACAAAGTGAAGAAGGATCTTTGGATTCGCAAATATCTGCAAGAAAAAAGTATGAGAATAGTACTCAGTCACAAACATGGGCTACTTTTTATGAAGAAAAAAAGAAAAACTCAGCATGACTCAGAAAGCGGAACCAAAAGATCAGATGGCAGGGCAAGAGCCATAGAAAATCATTTCCAGGGAACTCTAATCAAGGAGCTGGTTATCTGTGCCCAGCCAGAATTCAGAATTGCTATGGATTAACAATTTCCTTCAACAGTTTTACCCACCAACTTTTTGAATCTGAATGCTTTTCTATACCTGTTCCACCGCTTGATGTGGGTGTGTCAGGGAACTGTAGATTGAAGTTAGTTCTCAATATTGTGGACTGAGAGGGCTCATACTCAAGGAGTGTATCCCAGGAACTGTATTGAAGGAGGCTTATCCACACCTGCACCTGATTTTTTTCTTTCCAAATTTAATTTTAGGTGCGGGGGGTACACGTGCAGGTGTGTTACGTGGGTAAACTGTGTGTTGCATGGGTTTGGTGCAGATTATTTCATCACCCAGGTAATAAGTATAGTACCCAAGAGGTAGTTTTTTGATTCTCACCCTCCCATCCTCTATCCTCAAGCAGTCCCTGGTATCTATTGTTCCCTGCCTTGTGTCCATGTGTACTCAGTGTTTAGCTCCCACTTACAAGTAAGAACATGCTGGTTTTGATTTTCTGTTCCTGTTTTAACTTGCTTAGAATAACGGCCTCCAGCTCCATCCATGTTGCTGCAAAGGATGATTTTTTTTATAGCTGTGTAGTATTCCATGTATATATATATGTGTGTGTATATATATACACACACACACACAATTTTCTTTATCTAGTTCGATTTGATTTATATAAGGTCCTAGACTTCAAATTGATGCTGTAATGAGACTCTGGAAGCCTGAAGGAAGTGCATGAGTGTATTTTCACAGGGCAGGATGTGAATGGTGGCCAGGAGGCAAATGGTGGCCAGGAGGCAAAATGTGGCAGACTGTATTTTTCAAAGATAGACGCAACACTATTTCCCATCCCACATGGTCTTCCACAGTATGTTCTTAGCACTTTCCCTTCAAGAGGTGAACTCAAATTCCCCTTCCTTTGAATTTGGGCTGGATTTAAGTCTCACTAGTAACCATTAAAATGCAGAAGTGATGTTGTAATACTTCCAAAGCTAGGTCAGAAAAGGCCAGCTTCCACCTGGTTCTCTTAGAATGTTCCCTCTTGGGATGTTCATCTTGAAATAAACAAACATTCTGTGAAAAATCCGTGACCATGTAGGTGCTCCTGCTGACAGTTCTAGCTTAGATTGGTATTCAAGTCCTCCAAGTCCAAATTTCAAGCATAAGAGAGAAGCAGCCTGGAAGTGGATATTCCAGCCCTACCTGGACTAGTCATTCAAATAACCCCAGCTGAGACTCCAGACATCACGAAGCAGACAAAAACCATCCCTGCTGTGTTCTGTCTGGATTTTTGATCCACAAAACCTATGAGCATAATCACATGGTTGTCGTATGGCATGAAATTTTGGGTGGCTTGTTACACAGCAATCATCAGAGCACTTAAATCCTTCTCAAGAAGAACCACTGGAAAGTTAGACCAAAGAATAATAAAATGATTTTTTAAGAGGGAATTGATGGAACAGATTGTATGGGACACAAACTGATGCAAAATTTCTCTGAACGCATTTTGTTATATGTTTTTAACTTTAAAAGTAAAATTAAATCAGAAAAATGGCAGTCCTTGAACACTGAAAATAGAAACAAATGAATCTAGCTGCAAATTACGTTGGTTAGAAGTAAGCATTTTCACTCTACATTGTTAGTGAATGATCTGAAGGACAGAGAGTGATGCCAAGAAATCTTCAACTTCATTCAGCATTTATTTTTGGTGGTAATGCTCGTATTCTGTTGTAAGTATTTTATACTGCTTATAAATCACAGCACGTATTTAGCTCATTGTTAAAATCCAATAAGACTTTCGGGGAAAAGCAGAAAATGCAAGAAGAAAATTAAAGTTAAAAATAATGTGGTATTACATTTGAACTGAAAGTATCAATATGAACTCATAGTTTTTATTTTTGTTAAAACTTTTAATTGAACTATAATAAATGTACAGAAAAGTATACAAATGTACAACTCAATGAATTTTCACAAACTGAATACATCAGAGTAATCAGCACCCAAACCAAGCAACAAAACATTACTAGCATCTACAGAAACCTCCCATTGCTCTTTCCATCACTATCCCTCCTGCCATGTACCCCTACCTACCCCCTCACCCTCACCAGTATCCTGACTTCTAACTACATTAAAAAGTTCTCAATTTTTGTGTTCTATATAATCGTATAGTATGTCCTCTTTTATGTCTGGCTTCTTTTGCCCAGCATTATACTTTTGAGATTTATCTGTATTGTTGTACGTAGTCATAGATTGTTCATTTTCATTGTAGTATAGTGTTGATTCAGAAATTTTATTTCTGCAGAAAAGCAACAGTTCAATATTCAAAAAGGTGACTTTAGAACATGATGCCACATCCAGGGAAACATACCTCACATCCACCTTCCAACACAACTAACCACCTGGCATGAGGTCTGAACTTTCCACCTTTGCCATCACCTGTTTCAGTTACAGAAGTTATCCGTTAAAATGGGTTCGTATCCCAAACATACTCACAGGCATTGAGAGTGAAAGTTACATGGTAAAAGGTGCTTCAGATATATTAAGTTAAATAAAATCAATTAAACTCTCATTACTTCTTTATTTGGAGAAGCTTATAGTTTTATTTTCTAAAACAATTACTAATTTTGATATGCAATACTTTAATATGCTCATTTAACCACAGAAAGATTTTTTTTTTAAATGCCATCAAGCACTAGCGTTTCCTGGGAAATGGTTTCAAATGCTATCAAGTTTCATATTCCATTTGAGAAATGGAATATGATGTAATACACTGAACATCATAGCTTCCCAATTATAGCAGCAAATACAGTTCACAATGGATGACCGCAGTGAAATCACTGAAGTCCAACTGATGTAATCATTTATAAGAACTCTGTCTTTATTAATTTTGAGAAGGTAATTTTAAGGTGTTGGGTTATACTTTTACATACACAAAATTTATTCCATTCTTAATACATAGAAAGCTAAAGAAGAAAAGACAATCAGCATCAATTGGGATGATACTGGGCCAGAATCATACCTCTTTCACTATCATTACGATGTTCTGAAGGTAGAATGCCTAGAATCTAAATATATAATTAAAGCCAGAGGGATCTGGTCCAAGATATTCCACATAAATGATTTTCTATTCTATATTTAAACCACTGGATATAATTTGCCATAGAAATTAGAATTACTAGATTTCTCTTCATATGGGAAATGTCTAGATTTTGGTTTCCCCAGCCCTCCTCATCTAGTTCATATAATCAGTTTTAGGTTAGTCTTGTAGAATAGTATGTTGGAAAAATTTAGCAATTACCAATTCTTCAAATATTTTACTTGTAAAAAATTAGGTTCTCGGAGTCTCTCTGAGACTACTCTGGCTCGGGAGAGTAGGATTTTAAAAAAAAAAGTCAGATTCTAAATGTATTCTTTTAGAAAGCATTATCTTCTAACCGTCTTAATTTTTCCTTTGTTTGTTGGTCTGCTCAGGCTTTCTTCAGCATGTGAAGTAAATTTTAGTATATTTTTTCCATAAAATAATTCTGGATTTTCAATATTTTAAAATACATGTATAGTGTGTGTATAAATATATATACCTACACACTATACACATACACATTACATATCTATAGTATAGCAACTTATAACTTTAAAAATCCATAGCTGCCACTTTTATGATTCATATAGCTGTAGCTGTGTAATCTTTCATATTTCTATTCTGTGATCAAGACTGCCAAGGTCTTGATTATATTGGTATCCTTTAAAGAAACACACAAAAACAACCAAGTCTACTTTTTATTATTTATACCAGTGCTGACAATAGAAATATGTGAGCTACAGATATAAAATTTTCCTGTAACACATTTTTTAAAAACAAAAAATAGTTATTCATTTTAATGTATTTTATTTGAACCAATATATCTAAAATATTGTTTCAATATGTACTCAATATGAAAAACTGAGATACTTAACTTTTTAAAAACAACTAAGTCTTTAGAATCTTGTGTTTCACATTTACCACCATTTGAATTTGGACTAGCCACATTTCAGTGCTCAATAACTCAATTTCAAGTGCTCAACAGGTTGCTAGTGACTACCATATATTAGACAGTACAGGTCTAGTCCATTATTTCCCACATTTAGCAGTAGTAATTGCTTTCTTTTACTCATTCTTTAAACATATGAAGTACCGGCCGGGCGCGGTGGCTCACGCCTGTAATCACAGCACTTTGGGAGGCTGAGGCAGGTGGATCACCTGAGGTCACGAGTTGAGACCAGCCTGGCCAACATGGTGAAACCCCATGTTTACTAAAAATACAAAATCAGCCTGGCATGGTGGCAGGCGCCTGTAATCCCAGCTACTCGGAAGGCTGAGGGAGGAGAATGGCTTGAACCCAGAAGACAGAGCTTGCAGTGAGCCGAGATTGTGATTGTAGCACTGCACGCCAGTCTGGGCGACAGAGAGAGACTCCGTCTCAAAAAAAAAAAAAAAAAAAAAGGTGCATACCATGGGTACTATAATACAGAGATAGAGAGGTGAACTAAATAATGTGGACCCACATTTTAACTCACATTATCGTTATTATAGTGTAATTAATATTCCAATCCCAATGTGTACAGCTTTGGCAACATCCACAAGTTTTAATATGTACAAATTTTTTTTTTTTTTTGAGATGGAGTTTTGCTCTTGTTGCCCAGGCTGGCGTGCAATGGCATGATCTCAGCTCACTGCAACCTCTGCCTCCTGGGTTCAAGTGATTCTCCCGTCTCAGTCTCACGAGTAGCTGGTATTCAGGTGCATGCCACCATGCTCGGCTAATTTTTGTATTTTTAGTGGAGATGAGGTTTTGCCAGGATGGTCAGGCTGGTCTCGAACTCCTGACCTCGTGATCTGCCCACCTTGGCCTCCCAAAGTGCTGGGATTACAGGCATGAGCCACCACGTCCAGCCAGAAATTTTTTTTAATAATTCATTTTAAACTGGTTATAATTTCACGGATAATTTGATCTTTAAAAGAACATCATGGAAAATTTTAAAAACACAGAAGTAGAGAGAATAGCAAAAACAAATAAAAACCATGTATCCAAGACTTAGGTTACCATCATTTTGCCAAACTTGTTATTCATCCTCTTTTTTCTTTTGCATAAACAAAATGACATTCCAGATATATCATCTCCTGTGTATAAACTTCAGAAATTATCTCTAACAAATAGACTTTTACATAACCACAATGCTATTATCACACATAACAAAAAGTTTCTTAATATTATCTAATATTGTCAATATTCCCATTCTCCCAATTATAAGTATGTCTTCTTTTACATGTTTGTTCAACTCATGATCTAAGTAAAAACCACTCTTTCATTGCATTTGATTGATGTTGTCTCAAGTTTGTCAATACCTAAGAGTTCCACCTTATTTTTTAAAATGCCATTTTATTGGTTGGGAAACCAGGTGATTCCTCTTGTAGAATTACCCTTATTTTATATTTAATTGCTCCTTTTCATGTCATGTAATTTACTTTTCCATTCCTTGAATTTTCTATAAACTGGGAGTTAGTTCTTGAGGCTTAAATTCAGGTTCAGTATTTTTGGCAAGATGTGTTTATCTTACTGTATCACATTAGGAGGCACATAATTTTTACTGTCTTGCTTTTTGTGAAGTTAAGATGATCAGTGGGTTCAGATGTTGTCAGTCTCATCTATTCACTGTAAAGTTCACAACCTTTCACTGAATAGTCTCAACCTCTACAGAGAATCATGCCTAAATCCATTATTTCATTATGTGTTACACAATAGTTTTTCTAATACAATTTTCTATTATTCTTTCTGCATTCATTAGCCTGGAATTTTCTAATAAAGAAGAACTTTACCTCATTAACTTCTGGTTGCCTTGAAATACAGTTTACACAGGAAATGTAGACTAAAAGACTTTCCTTTCATTTGCACATTTTCAGAATGAGGTGGTTCCCTGGCAACCTCCTTGTGTATACTACACAGATGGAAGAATATGGAGATAATAATAGGTAAGATCAAAAGCTTTTTCACATTCAGTACTTTAATAAAGTTCCTTTCTAGGATGAATTTCCTGTAACATGGTTTCAAAGGTGATGAAAGGCTTCCATATGTTCATTAACGTATTCTTTCCTTTAAATAAAACTTCCTTAGTTGTGAGCATGAAGCAAAAGGGATTCCCACGTTCAAAAACCTTTCCTCTAGAATGTACTTCCTATGCGCAACATAAAATTCACAACGGAAGAGTTCTAATAACTATTAAGTTACATTATGAATTCGCTGATGGTAAGTAAGATGTGAATGTTGTCTAAATGCCTTTTTACATTCCTTACATTTGTAAGGTTTCTCACCAGAATGAATTCTCTGATGCTGAATTAGTGATGAATGAAGTCTAAAGGCCTTTCCACATTCCTTACAGTCATAGGGCTTTTCACCAGTATGAATACTTTGATGTTGAGTAAGTTGCGAAAGCAGTCTAAAAGTCTTCTCACATTCCTTACACTTATAGGGTTTCTCACCAAAATGAATACTCTGATGTTGAGTAAGCTGTGAGAACAGTCTAAATGCCTTCCCACATTCCTTACATTCATAAGGTTTCTCTCCAATGTGAATACCCTGATGTGAAATAAGTTCTGAGTAACGACGAAAGAACTTCTGACATTCCTTACATTCATAGGGCTTCTCACCAGTATGTATTCTCTGATGGAGAGTCAGATGATAGCCACGACTAAAAGTCTTCCCACATTCCTTACAATCGTAAGGCTTCTCACCAGTGTGAATTCTCTGATGGAGAGTAAGTTGTTGCCGCACTCTAAAGGCCTTTCCACACTCCTTACATTCATAGGGTTTTTCTCCAGTATGAAGTTTGTGATGTATTCGAAGGCCTGTACTACACAGAAAGGCCTGACCACATTCCTTACACTCATAGCACTTCTCAGCAATGTTAAGTCTCTGATGTCGAGTAAGGTGTGCATACTGCCTAAAGGCCTTCCCACATTCCTTACATTCATAGGGCTTCTCACCCGTGTGAATCCTTTGATGGAGATTAAGTTGTCCTCTAACTCTAAAGGCTTTCCCACATTCTTTACATTCATACGGTTTCTCACCAATATGAATTCTCTGATGTACTCGAAGGTCTGAGCCACATGTGAAGATCTTTCCACATTTTTTACATTCATAGAGTTTGTCAGAAGTATGAATTCTCTGATGTCGACTGAGGTGGGCACACTGTCTAAAGGCTTTTCCACATTCTTTACATTCATAGGGTTTCTCACCAGTATGAATTCTTTGATGGAAAGTAAGTTGTTGTCGTACTCTAAAAGCCTTCCCACATTCCCCACATTCGTAGGGTTTCTCTCTGTTATGACTCTTCTGATACAGAGGAAGAGATGTGAGTTTTCTGTAGGTAGGCGTTTTTCCAGAAGTGGTTTTTGTCACTTGCCTGAAACACACTTCATGAGGACTTTCTTGTCCTTCAAGTCCACAGCTTTTAATTCTTTCCATTACCTTCCACTGAGATAAGTTCATTTCATAAATATCCTTTTCTTGAAATAACTTTTTAGTATCATATCTGGATTCCAAATCTGAAAGAAAACAAGACCAAAATATATTTTCCTGTTCTACACAAAATAAACAAAAAACTTTATGATAGAAATCAATGACACCCACAAAAAAGAAAAGAAAGCCCAACTGAAGTAAATGGGCTCAAAATCTCTAAAACAGGTAACTTTAAAAAAGCTAAAAGGAAATATGAAAATGATGAGTTAAGACCAGATTATGTGGGTGCAGATCAAAGTTTGAGACTCTGCAATTAAATTTTTTAAATTTCTCTTTTCAATTAGAATAAAGAGCAAATACTTTATCAGGAGTAACATGGACTCTGTTAACCACAAGGTATCAACTCAAACCACTGAGCCCTTTGTTGTCCATGTCCCTATCACACTTGCCTCCTTTCTGCTCCTAGAATGTGTCGCAATCTTTCTTTTTTATTTTTGAGACAGAGTCTCTGTTGCTCAGGTTGGAGTGCAGCGGCATGATGTCGGCTCACTGTAACCTCTGACTCCCGGGTTCAAGCAGTTCTCCTGCCTCAGCCTCCCTAGTAGCCGGAATTACAGGAGTGCGCCACCACGCTTGGCTAACTTTTGTATTTTCAGTAGAGACGTGGTTTCACCATGCTGGTCAGGCTGGTCTCGAACTCCTGACCTCAAGTGACCCGCCTGCCTCGGTCTCCCAAAGTGTTGGGATAACAGGCATGAGCCACTGCATCCGGCCTAATCTTTCCACTTCTTGGAGCTTTTCACTGGCTATTAAATCTCCCAGGAATCCTGACTTGGGTTTGCATGGTTGGGTTTCTTTCATACATCAGATTTCATTTTAAAAATCAGAAAAACAATCCCTACTTCATGTAATATATATCCTTTGTTTTCTATACCAGTCACTTCTTCTTTTCTTCTTTCTTTTTTTTTGAGACGGAGTCTCACTCTGTCGCCCAGGCTGGAGTGCAGTGGTGCGATCTCAGCTCACTGCAATCTCCGCCTCCCGGGTTCACGCCATTCTCCTGCCTCAGTCTCCCGAGTAGCTGGGACTACAGGTGCCTGCCACCATGCCTGGCTAATTTTTTTATTTTAGTATAGATGGGGTTTCACTGTGTTAGCCAGGATGGTCTCGATCTCCTGACCTCGTGATCCACTCGCCTTGGCCTCCCAAAGTGCTGGGATTACAGGCACGAGCCACTGTGCCCGGCTTCTTTTTTCTTTTTCTTTCTTTTTTTTTTTAAGACAGAGTTTCGCTGTCGTTGCCCAGGCTGGAGTGCAATGGCGCAATCTCGGCTCACTGCAACCTCCGCCTCCCAGCTTCAAGTGATTCTCCTGCCTCAGCCTCCCAAGTAGGTAGGATTACAGGCGCCTGCCACCACTGTATTTTAGTAGAGACGGGGTTTCACCATTTTGGCCAGGCTGGTCTTGAACTCCTGACCTCGTGATCCGCCTGCCTCAGCCTCCCAAAGTGCTGGGATTATAAGCGTCAGCCACCGCACCCAGCTTACTTCTTTCCTTTTTTTTTTTTTTTTTTTTGAGAGAGTCTCACTGTGTCGCCCAAGCTGAAGTGCAGTGGGGCATGATCTCGGTTCAGTGCAATCTCTGCCCCAGGGTTCAAGCAATTCTTGTGTCTCAGCCTCCCAAGTAACTGGGATTATGAGCACCCGCCACCACACCTGGCTAATTTTTGTATTTTTAGTGGAGACTGAGTTTGACAATTTGGCCAGGCTGACCTCAAACTCCTGTCCTCAAGTGATCTGCCAGCCTCAGCTTCCCAAAGTGCTGGGATTACAGGTGCGAGCCACCATGCCTGGCTACTTATTTCTTAACACTTTTCTCAATTGTGTTGTTATTCATTAATTTCCCCACTCATTATTATCTTTATTTTCTTACCTTAAACTTCTCCAAGGGCAGAAACAATTTTTCACTCACCAGTGAATAACAAATCCACAGTACATGTTAACTATGAATTAAATTCCCATAATTAGTCAGCAATTATGGCATATGATATCCTGCCTCCAATCTTAAACCTTACTACACTGATTAAACATTCTTTTTATCACTTCCTACAGAGATGGGAAACAAGCACATCTAAGCTATCTCAGTAAGTATATAAATGGAAAATAGTGATTTCTTTACACTTGATCATCTTCCAATTTGCCTCTTCATGTACACTTGCAGGTATCTCCACTGCAGTTCAACTCCTACTTTGCATAGTCATAGGTGAGCTTTGCCCCCATTCACGACCAAGGTAATGAGAGGCTCTAAATATTTTATCTTCACTTGAGTTTACATAATGTGCACATCTATGTTACAGGTTCCCCATATCTTACCAGAAGTCCCCATAATGCCATCTGGGTACTTCCTAGAGAATATTTCAGTGATTTTCCAGGTGTAACAACAGGTTTATGCTATGGTAAAAGGCTAGTAAAATTCTGAGCAAAGAGATGTTTTTTGCAAATGTGCACGTTCTCAAAATCTTTGCAATAGGAATTCAATACTCTTTAAAAAGGAAAAGGTATTTTAAATAATGTTGCTTTAGGGTTAGGATTAGAGTTAGGGTTAAAGCAACATTATTTGCAATCTACCCAAAGTGGAAAGAATCCAAGTATTCATCAATGGAAGAACAGCTAATAAATGATAGCATATTAATACATCACAATACCATACAGCAACGAGAATTAACAATCTACAACTACATGCAAGATTAGCAAGGGCTAATCTCACAAACATAATGGTGAGTAAACAAAACTAGGCATAGAACAATATATACTGTACAATTCCATTTTTATAAAGTTTACAAATGATAATTAATAATCTATAGTGGTGTCAGGACAGTGGTTAGCCTTGGTGGGGAGGAATGACTGAAAGAAGTCAGGAAGGGCTTCTGGTATCCCAGTAAAGTTCTGTTTCTGAATCTGTGTACTAATTAGATGGGTGTGGTCACTGTGCCAATTCACTAATTATCTGTATATTTTTGTGTGTATTTATATTTCAATAAGTTTACTTTAAAAAAGTATACACTAGGGCCAGGCACGGTGGGTCAGGCCTGTAATCCCAGCACTTTGGGAGGCCAAGACAGGCGGATCACAAGGTCAGGAGATCGAGACCATCCTGGCTAACACGGTGAAACCCCGTCTCTACTAAAAAAAAAAAAATACAAAAAACTAGCCGGGCGAGGTGGCGGGCGCCTGTAGTCCCAGCTACTCCAGAGGCTGAGGCAGGAGAATGGCATAAACCCAGGAGGCGGAGCTTGCAGTGAGCTGAGATCCGGCCACTGCACTCCAGCCCGGGCTACAGAGCAAGACTCCGTCTCAAAAAAAAAAAAAAAAAAAAAAGGTATACACTAAAAAGATACTAAAGGGCAACAATAATTTAAATACTGTGGGTAAAATGTGACCAGGGACAGGTAAATGAATGGAACAGAAAATACCGTTATATAATCTGTGTTTCTCTCACACTCTTTGTCTCTCTCTTTCTCTGTCTCCCCACACAAAAAAAGCAATACAAAACTACGGCAATTGTCTAGAATTTTGAGGATAAAGTCCATTTATGGCCTCAATAAGACAAATAAGATATAAGTGATATTAATAAAAGCATCATAATTAAATAATGGTAGTAAATAAGTAGTTATGAAGGTAATACAAAGGTTAAGAAATAAGATGCTCATTTCAAAGGATTTATCTGCAAATTAAAAATAAAACCAGTAATCTATAAAAGGAAAGCCAGTCAAAAATCAAATTAAAGGCTAAAACATTCATAAGAAAGTGAGAAAGTGTTACTGTTCACAGCATTAAAGTCCACACAAACTGGGCACCATGGCTCGTGCCTGTAATCCCCAACTACTTGGGGAGGCTGCAGTTGGGGGATCACTTGGGGTGGAAGGATTATTTGAGGCCAGGAGGTCCAGACCAGCCTGGCCAACGTAGTGAGACCCCAATCTCGAAAAATTTAAAACAAGAAATTTAAGCCCATACAAAATTGGCATAAGAAACAATAAACAATGGAAACAGTAATGGAATACAGGAAGCGAGGAGACAATGCACAAAGTAAATATAAGCATAAACAAATTAGGACAAAATGTCTGTATTCACTAATAACCAAATTAGAACAGGTTGTAAAATTTGTTTTGTAAAATTTGAAGGTTTTCATTAAAAAAAAAAATATTGCCAATGTTGATAAAGTGAACTTGAAATTGTCATATATGGCTTCCTACTTAAGTGACAAGCCAGATCTGTGGGGAAAAGGAAGAGAGATCAGCCTGTTACTGTGTCTATATAGAAAGAAGTAGACATAAGAGACTCCATTTTGTTCTGTATTTGAGATGCTGTTAATCTGTGACCCTACCCCCAACCTTGTCCTTGCAAGAGACATGTGCTGCGGTGACTCAAGGTTTAATGGATTTTGGGCTGTGCAGGATGTGTCTTTGTTAAACAAATGCCTGAAGGTAGCTTGCTGGTTAAAAGTTATCACCATTCTCTTAATCTCAACTACCCAGAGACACGTACACGGCCAAAGGTCGCAGGGACCTCTGCCTAGGAAAGCTAGGTATTGTCCAAGGTTTATCCCCATGTGATAGGATGAAACAATGTTGCTAAAAAGTTTATCTCAAGGCACAGGATTTTCCTTTGAACTTATTCATATCACAGAGGTTTTTGTTCTTATGTCTTACTGCTAATTTCCTCCCTAAAAATGATCCTATTGTCCTGCCACTCCCCTGTCTTTAAGATGGTAAAGATAATTATCAATAAATACTAAGGGAACTCAGAGACCAGTGCCGGCGTGGGTCCTCTGTAAGCTGAGCGCCGGTCCCCTGGGCCCCGCTTTTCTTTCTCTATACTTTGTCTCTGTGTCTTATTTCTTTTCTCAAGTCTCTCGTTCCACCTTACGAGAAACACCCACAGGTGTGGAGGGGCAGGCCACCCCTTCAAGATCAATATCTTGGCTACTTAAGTGACAAGCCAGATCAAGATCTTGGCATTTTGAACATTCTCAATTAGGAGGGTATTCTATAATATACACAGCTGAGCTGTCTGTCACCAAAGAATCAGCCATGTTCGTTCCCAAATTTGCCTATTCCAGTCTTACTGCTGCAAGTAACTAAAATTATTAATGTTTAAACACAATTATTTCTATGAAAACTAAGTTGGATGTTTTGGAAGTATTGGCTATACATGCACATTGCATTTTTATCAATGTAGGCATGGGTGAGAAACATAATAAAAGACAGAAAACATAAAAATTCAAGGATTCTGCCCTCAGATTGCTTCACAAGTATCTTTACATTCCTGCTCTACTTCAAAGAAGTTGAAACTGGAAAGAATAGCCTATGTTTCATATGTACTTTGATCAAGACAGAATGGGCTAGACCTACACTGAAACAAAATGCTGGGCCAAACATCAAAATATTGGACTATGAGAGACAATGTTCTACCTCCTAAAACATGTATGTAAAATATTTTAATGCTAATATTAAATTAAAATTATTTATTAATTATATAATATATAATTTATATCAATTAATGTTAATTAATTAATAAAATTAATAAGCCAAATACTAGTTTGGATTCCACTGAATCAAAGAGTTTATTCTAGTAAACACTGCTAATGTGAAAAAATATTAGTCCATCTTAGATCAAAATGAAGGAAGTATTTCCATTTGCGGGGCATCAGCTTTAAATAAAAAGAAAATAGGGGCAGGGCGTGGTGGCTCACTGTAATACCAGCACTTTGGCAGGCCAAAGCAAAAAGACTGCATGAACCCAGGAGTTTGAGACCAGTCTGGGCAACATGGTTTTCCGTCTCAAAAAAATTAAATAAAGTAAAATAAAATAATAAAATAAAATAGGGAGCAAATTATCTTGTCATATAATTATCCCCGGAGGTATGCTGTTTCCTGAGGTACAATGTCTCCCCCATCCCTTTTTTTCTGGCTGATACAAGATTATACAGGACACAGAATATTTATGGCAAAGACAGTTCTAATTATATTAACATCAGAGATCTGAAAATGTTAAAACCCTACCACCACGAAATTGTACTTCTGAAAATTAACACTGATCTAATACTGCATAATCCATACTGAATTCCAATGAAATACTGAATAAGCCTCAGGTTCAGATGATAATCTTACTGCCATTTCACCAAGGAACCAGAAACAACTGAAAGAAAAATATGTATTCTCTTCTTCACCACATTCTCCAATCAGTCTATGTCTGAATTCTTACCATATATGTGGTTTTCCTTCATCAATCGGTTCCACTCCTTCCCATCTACTGAAGGTCACTGCCTACAAAACTACCCTCTCTCTCTACTTCATCAATATTCCTCTCTTCGAAATCATTCTCATAGCCTATAAACATGTTAAATATTTCACATAATAATTTCACATCATAAAATATATTCCCTGTACTCTGTGTGTCTGCTTCTCTTTATGACAAAATTCACCCAAAGAATAGTTTAACCTTATTTTCACCATTGCCTCACCACCATTTTCTTTTTGTCTCTCAATAAATAACTCTAAAGCAAACAAATGAAAAACCTTTATAACAGAGCATTTCTAACATATCAAAAAGTAGACAGAACAGCATAATAATCTCCATGTATCCAGCACCAACCATTAACCCCATGCCCAATCTTGGCCTATGAACCCCCAATCTACTTCCTTCCTATTATTTGAAGCAAATCTTGGATATTACATTGTTTCATATGTACAAAATATGCATCTCAAAAAGCACTTTTATACAAAACCACAATACCATTATCCAAACCTTAAAAACGAGTTATTAAATATCATCAAACATCAGTGCCCACACTTCCATCTGGCTGATAAAATTTTTTTTTTTTTTTGATACGGAGTCTCGCTCTGTTGCCCAGGCTGGAGTGCAGTGGCACGATCTCGGCTCACTGCACGCTCTGCCTCCCGGGTTTACGCCATTCTCCTGCCTCATCCTCCCAAGTAGCTGGGACTACAGGTGCCAGCCACCTCGCCCGGCTAGTTTTTCGTATTTTTTTAGTAGAGACGGGGTTTCACCGTGTTAGCCAGGATGGTCTCGATCTCTTGACCTCATGATCCACCCGCCTTGGCCTCCCAAAGTGCTGGGATTACAGGCGCTCTGAGCCACCATGCCCGGCCCTGGCTGATAAAATTTTAAACAACCTAAAAAGAATAACTCATCCAAAGTTCACAGAATACAATTGTTACATGTCTTTTACATCTCTTTTAATGTATAGATTTTCCTATCATTTTTTGATTTCCCTTGTAATTTATTTGTTGAAGAACCTGTTTTTGGTCCTGTAGTTTCCCATATTCTGAATTTTGCTCACTACATTCCCAAGGTGTAGAACATAGTCCTCTATCTTCTTCCCATAAGTTGGGAATTGGCTTTAGATGCTTGACAAGACTTAGGACCTTTGTTGGCAAAGTTACCTCATAGGTGATATTGTGCTCTTTCATCAGGAGAAACAACGTCTGATTGTCTCTATTTCTTTGATGCTATCAGCACTGATGTTCAATATCTAAATCCAGTAGTTCTTATGGGCTCCAAAATGGTAATATTCTAATTCTATCATTTCCTCTTCATTTATTCACTGAATATATTCATTAAGAGAAACATACCTCCACCTACTACCTATTCGTACAATTGTTATAAGAAAGGCAGGATAAATGCTTCTTTTCCTTTAAATTTATGCTTTTTAAATGTTAGTTTCCTAGTAACTTCCAATGATGAATAATTTGCTGTTAGCATCATTAAGAATTTATAAAATTAAGTGTATTTTATGCATTGCAATACATTGTAGTCATTATAGTAATGACGTTCAAATAGTCCCATCTTTGGACAACTGGCGCCTCTTCAAATTGGCTCTTCTTCCCTGACCACCCCATCTAAAATTACTCCATTCACTCATTATGATTCTCCATATCCTTACCTTACTCACTTTTCTTCATAATACCTAATTACTTCAGGATATTTTAGTAATCCATTTACTGATTTACTTGTTTACTGCCTGACTCCCCACTACAATTTGAACTCCATGAACAGAGGGCAATGAAAAAATGTATACATAAAAGTCAAAACACAAAAGATGAGCTAGAAAGGGATTAGATCCAAAATACAGGTAAAATAGAATCACGAGGGAAGAAAGCTTTCCCCTATAAGAAAACGGAGGGAAACAATACAGAAAAGAAACAAGTGATAAGTGGAAGTATGGATGAAATTTCTTTGGTGGCTCATGCTGAGAATATCTAAATTTTCTTCCCAAGATTCAGGTCTCTTCTTCACAGTTGACATCTAAGGGGTGTGTCTCCTCCTCAACCAGCAGGTCTGGCCATGCCATAATGGCTGACCTCTGCCTGATCAGCACTTACCTAGAGTCCATCTTCTCTTCTCATCCCTCACAACCATCCAGGGCTCTTTCCCTTGTTCCAATAGGGTGATCACATCTGGTTTAGAAATGGAACATCCTGCTTAAAAATAAATAATAGAATATAATAAAGAATTTATTTAAGACTTCAAAACAAAGATGACTATCAAGATTGAAAAACATTCATAGCACAGTTACTTTAGGATCACAAGGAAAAACAAGAACAGAGAAGTAGGGACGTGGTCTTATACCTAATTTAAACTTACACAGGCTCTGTCTCCAGAGAAAAGAATAGTTGAAAGCAATGGTTTCAAATCCTGCCTCTCTTTCCCATGTCAGTAGAGCAACTAATTCAATCTCTCTGCACCTCAGTTTTCTCAGATGTGAAAAGCGGGTAACAGTAATGTGTATACATAGCATTGCTGTGAGATTTGATTTAATGTAAGTGTTTAGATGAGTACCTGGTACATGTTAACCATTATATATGTTCATGAGGTACTACCATTTGCTATTTTTTGATATTAATTTGTTAACAGAAAAATAAGTTTCTTGCCAGGATATGCATACAATATTAAATTCAAATTCATGTATTTTAAACTTAATCAGAAAGTAGTTAAAGTATGTCTGTTGTAGGAAACTGAATACTGTCCACCTGAGTTTTAACAAACTCTCAATTCAACCCAGCATCACATACACTATAAAAGCTGTTTTAATAGCTATGTAGAGCCAGACACCTCTGTCTTCCTATTTTCACTGTAAATGAGTCACAAATAACATGGACTATCCATAGCAGTATGAAATCCAATTTCTTTGACAATGGTTTTGCCATGAGTGTCTAAGAATTTATATCCAGCTGTCATTAAAGACCGGTAATAACAGAAAAGTCAAAGAAAAATGTAAAGGTCAATGAATAGGAAAAGATGAAGGTGCTTAATAGTGGTAGCTACTGTCAAACCACAAAGCAGACAGCTAGTTTTTAGAAAGACAGTCCAGACGCGGCGGCTCACGCCTGTAATCCCAGCACTTTGGGAGGCCCAGGCGGGCAGATCACGAGGTCAAGAGATCAAGACCATCCTGGCCAACATGGTGAAACCCTGTCTCTACTTAAAATACAAAAATTAGCTTGGTGTGGTGGCACGCGCCTGTAGTCCCAGCTACTTGGGAGGCTGAGGCAGGAGAATTGCTGGAACTCAGGAGATAGAGGTTGCAGTGAGCCAAGATTGCGCCACTGCACTCCAGCCTGGTAACCAAGCGAGACTCTGTCTTAGAAAAAAAAAAAAGACAGCCCAGAAATTCCGTCCTGTGAATTTCTAAATTATTTGACACAGATATGCTATGCTTACCCAGTGACACCAAGTTGCTATAGTTCTCTAATATCACATCTCTGTACAAATTCCTCTGATATGAGTTCAGGCATTCCCACTCTTCCTGAGAAAAGTCTACAGCCACATCTCTGAACATCACCAAATCCTGAAATGATAAACGCATGTATTATTTGTAAGATAAATGAAAACATTTTGAAGATGGAAGAAGGTATCTGGATGTAGTGGCTCAACGCCTGTAATTCCAGCTTTGGGAGCCTGAAGCAGGAGGATTGCTTGAGGCCAGGAGTTCAAGACCAGCCTAGACAACATACCAAGACCTTGTCTCTTAAAAAAAAGGCTGGGCGCGGTGGCTCACACCTGTAATCCCAGCACTCTGGGAGGCCGAAGCGGGCGGATCATGAAGTCAGTAGATCAAGACCATCCTGGCTAACACGGTGAAACCCCGTCTCTACTAAAAATACAAAAAATTAGCCAGGCATGGTGGTGGGCACCTGTAGTCCCAGCTACTCGGGAGGCTGAGGCAGGAGAATGGAGTGAACCTGGGAGATGGAGCTTGCAGTGAGCCGAGATCATGCCACTGTACTTCAGCCTGGGTGACAGAGCAACAGAGCAAGACTCCGTCTCCACACACACAAAAAAAAAAAGTGGAAGAAAGGTTTGATGGGTTTTGATGATAAATGTTCACTTCATACATCAAATGAATAGACTGGTGCTGGAAGCCTGTGATGTGGGAAGGTGGCAATAAAGATGTGAGTGTGACTGAAGCAGAATATATGTTCTTGAAGATTTCTATAAACAAAAGACCAGGGTTTGGCAACATTTTCTGTAAAGGGCCAATATTTTAGGCTTTGTATACCACATATGGTCTCTGTTCCACATTCTTTTTTTTTTTTTGTAACAATTATTTCAAAATTTAATTAGCTTGCAGGCTGTTCCGAAACAAGCTGCAGCTTGTGGGCCAAATTTGCAGTGTATCTAGTTGCCCACCACTGCTATGGCCAAAACTTCCTATGTACTATGGAATAGAAGATAATTTTATTTATTTCCAGACATATTCAGGTAATTATCAGAATTTCTCAATTAACTGAAATAGGTTCATAGGAACAGTACTTGCAAAGGACCTAAAACATTCTCAATAAGTGGGATTTACTCTATCTTCTTTTCCTTTAAAGATTAAAACAATAATAATTATTGATGGGATTCTCCCCAAAAAATGAACTGTAAAATCTCTATTTTTAAGAAGTATACTTTGCGTAAAACTTAAAAATTTCTTCCAGATATAACTTTATTATAATGTATCATTAGCATTTTTATCATAACAGATCTTTTATTTAATATTTATAGTTTACTACATGATACAGTACTTCCCCCTTACTCGTGGTTTTGCCTTCCTCAATTTCAGTTACCCACAGTCAACCACGGTCCAAAAATATTAGATGGAAAAATTCCAGAAATAAACAATTTATAAGTTTTCAACTCCATGCCATTCTCAGTAACATGATGAAATCTCACACTAACCACTCCGCCCACTTCGGATGTGATATGCTTTGTCCAGCATATCAACATTGTATATACTACCTGATTATCAGATCAAAACAACATCATATATATAGGGTTCCATACTATCTGAGGTTTTCGGCATCCACTGGGAGTCTTAGAATGTATCCCCCTTGGGTAAGGAGGGACTGCTGTACGCCATCTGATGGATATGTTACACTTAATAGTGATTATATTTAGATATAGGTATATTTTTAAATATATTAAATTATATTTAGAATTTACATTACAAAAAATCTCTAAAGTTTCTGCAACGTCCAATACTCTAGTTCAGCAATATGTGGATATTGAGCACTTGAATGGGACTAGTCCAAACCCACATGTGCTGTAAATGTCAAATATATACCAGATACCAGATAGTGAAGACTTTAGAAGGAAAATAACAAGGTAAAACATATTGATGATTTATATGTATTTTTTATTTTATCTTGGTTTTGAGGCAGGGTCTCATTCTGTCACCCAGGTTGGAATGGCGTGGCACAATCACAGCCCATTTATTGATTACAGCTCACTGCAGCCTCGAACTCCTGGGTTCAAGCAATTCTCCTACCTCAGCTTCCCAAATTGCTGAGACCACAGGCATATGCCACCATGTCTGGCTAATTTTTTTTTTGGTGGTGGTGGTTGTTTTTTAGAGATGGGATCTCATTAAGTTGCTCAGGCTTATCTCAAACTCCTGGGCTCAAGCAGTCCTCCTGCCTCAGCCTTCCAATTCCAAAGTGCTGAGATTACAGGCATGAACCACCACTGTCAGGGCCTGACCATGACTTTTATATTGAATACACTTTGAAATAATATTTTGGCCATATTGGGTTAAATGAAAGACATTAAAATCAATTGCATGTGTTTCTTTTTCCTTTTTTTTATGTGACTACTAAAGTATTTAAAATATTTACTAAACTATGTGGCCTTGCATACCATTCTATACTTTCAAAATTTGACTACTAGAAAATTTTAAATTACATATGTAGCTTGAATTACAATTATTTTAGACAGTGCTATTTTAATCCTGAGAATTTCAGATACAATGCCCACTTCTAGGAACTTCATTTCTGCCCCATTTCTGCTCTAGACAGATAAGGAGCACACAGGAGATGCTGAATGATTTGGTCAATGCACACATGGATACTGATACAATTTGGCTGTGTCCCCACCCAAATCTCATCTTGAATTGTAGCTCCCATAATTCCCATGTGTTGTGGGAGAGACCCAGTGTGAGATAATTGAATCACAGGGGCCACTCCCCCTATACTGTTTTCGTGGCAGTAAGTCTCACAGGATCTAATGATTTTATAAGGGGTTTCCCTTTTCTCTTGGCATTCATTCACTCTTTGCCTGTCACCATGTAAGACATGCCTTTCGCCTTCCGCCATGACTGTGAGGCCTCCCCAGCTATGTGGAACTGAGTCCATTAAACCTCTTTTTCTTTATAAATTACCCAGTCTCAGGAATGTCTTCATCAGCAGTGTGAAAACGGACTACTAAAGATATGCATGGAGAAGATAGGGGCACTTAGGAATCTGGCTGGCTCCACCCCTTGCTGGAATGGGGAAGACTGGGGAGCAGCTGTTGAAAGGGGCTCTGTTAGAAAGTTGCAGAATAACAAATCAGAATGTTCACATAACCTGAAAAAAATGACAGAATTCTAAGTAGAGAGAAATTCCAACTTACACGAGCCATGATTTTAGAATTGAAAGAACCGGGTCAATTTTCCTCAAGGTTCATTTACTTCAGAAGCAGGGTCCACAGATGCCAGAGCTGGAGAAAGAACGCGTAAAATCATGAGAACAGAATTGCCTCAGAGTTTCCAAATTTAAAAAACCGATACTATTACTCCATTCCTATATGCAACTCCCACTCCCAACATACAGACAAGTTTTGATAAGTAAGAGGTAGTTCAGACAAAGATGTCCTCCCCAAAACCACAGCGAAATCAGCTCAGCTGCACAAGGAATTGCAGAGCAGAGACTCTGCAGCATCAAAGCGTATGTCTAGACACTCCAGCAGGAGGGCTGCCAGTTGGTCCTCAGCTCCGACCCCAGGGCAGGCTGGTTTGGACCACAGAATGGGTTGCGCAGACCTGTCCTGAACAGATCCTCCTCCCTCCATCCCCACCTTCCCAGCTGAAAAGGGGTTACACCATCTAAACCAAAACTCTCCTTCTTGGCCTCAGGAATCTGGCTGGCCTCCCCAAACACGAAGACAGAATATAGCATAGACAAGAATTGCCCAAACTTTGCTCAAATTGGAATCACCTGGATATCTTTAAACTATACTGTTGCCTGGCTCCCACCTTTAAACACACTGATTTAATTAGTGTGACGTGGGATTTAGGATTTTTTTAATTACCTCTTCCTCCCATGGGTGTTTCTAATGGGCAGCAAAGTTTGGTAGTCAAACTTGAGTATGCATCAGAATCACCCAGAGGGCTTGTTAAAACACAACTTGCTAGGTCTCACTGCTAGAGTTTGGCATTCAGTAGGTTTGGGATTGGACTTGAGAATTTGCATTTCTAAAAAGTTTCCAGGTGATGCTGCTGCTGCTGGTCCAGATGCCACACTTTGAGAACCACAGGTATAAAACACCTGTAGAAAGGCTATATAGCAGCCTTGATTATGGCAAAACCACAGGTGCACATTGGGATCCCTTCCCCAAGGCTTAACTCAGAGCTCTCTGCTCCTTATTTTCCTATTCAGGATCATTATTGCCTGCATGATCTCAATTACCAAGCAATCTTTCTTGGTACTCAGACTTAAAGAAGTAAATTTATGAAACCTGAGCATGGATAATGTTCTAGAAGGTAGAAACAGGCTGGGTGCAGTGGCTCATGCATGTAGTCCCAGCACTTTGGGAGGCCCAGATGGGAGGATTGTTTGATGCCAGGAATTGAAAACCAGCCTGGGCAACATAGTAAGAGTCTGTCTCTGACAAAAAAAATTTTTTTTAATTAGCTGGGTGTGTTGGCACCTGCCTGTATCCCTAGCTACTTGGGAGGCTGAGGCAAGAGAACTGCTTGAGCCCAGGAGTTCAGGGCTGCAGTGAGCTATGATCTTTCCACCGCACTCCAGCCTGGGTGACAGAGTAAGACCTTGAACAAAATAGGAAAAGGAAAAAGAAAGAACCTATCAGCTTATCAGTTAAAATATACTAGTAACTAAAGAGCATATTGAAGGAACTGTATTGGCAGATTTGAAAAAGTTATGACACCTCATAATTACTAAGCTGTTGGGGAAATGGATACTCAATGATATGATGTAGAAAGAATGAAATAATTTGTGGATAGAAAGTGTTTAAAATGGGACCAAAAAAGCTGGAAAGAACCTAAATATCCTTCAGCAATGTTAAATAAATTACCATGCATTCACACAGTGGAAAATTAAACAGCCGAGTGCAGTGGCTCATGCCTGTAATCCCAGCACTCTGGGAGGTCAAGGCAGGTAACCGCTTAGTAAGTCCAGGAGTTCAAGACCAGCCTGGCCAACATGGCAAAACTCCATCTCTACAAAAAATTAGCCGGGCATGGTGGTGCAAACCTGTGGTCCCAGCTCCCTGGGAGGCTAAGGTGAGAAGATCGCCTGAGCCCAGGAGGTTGAGGCGGCAATGAACCCTGTTCATGCCACTGAACTAAAGCCTGGGCAGCAGAGCGATACCCTGTTTTGTTTTTTTTAAAAAAAAAAAAAAAAGAAAAGAAAAATAAACACCCATTAAAAATGAAGATAAAATTCATATTTGATGTCATGGGAAGACAGCCACTACATATTGTTGGGGGAAGAAGACAGGTTAGAAAATATGATTGTAATGTAACTGTCTTTTGGCAGGTAAACTACGTATACATGCATATATGCATATATATATATGCATTTGTATAAAAAGATCTGTGAGTTGGAATAAAATTTTATTGTTACCTCTACTTGATGGTATCCCAGTCCTAGGTGATATTTATTTGTTCTTCTCTGGAGTCTTTACATTTTTTTTAAGGCAGGATTTTGCTCTGTCACCCAGGCTAAAGTGCAATCTCGGATCTCAGCTCACTGCAGCCTCCACTTCCAGGGCTCAAGCGATCCTCCTACCTCAGCCTCTGGAGTAGCTGGGACTAAAGGCACATGCCACCACCCTGGCTAATTTTTGTACTTTTTGCCAGTCTATATTGCCTAGCCTGTTCTCAAACTCCTGGACTCAAGTGATCCACCTGCCTCCACCTCCCAAAGTGCTGGGATTACAGGCTTGAGCCACTGCACCTGGCCTGAATTTTTTAATTAAAAATTTGTATCACTTATACCTGAACAATAATTCAAAACAGCTATGCAAGGAATATCACAAAAAGCTCCAACAGTTCCATCCCTGCTACTATGCCCCTATCTTCCAAATCTAGAGGCAACAATTTTTACCTCTATTAACTGTTCCTTTTGGTATTTAAACTCCATACATTTAAAAACCATGCTAATATTTTTACTTCTGAATTTTTAGTTGTAATCATTATATATTCCCTTACTACTATGGTAGGCACAGTTTTAGCATCTCCCACCCACATATGCACAGTTACAGTCCCTTTGTCCTTTCAATATGATTTTTTTTTTTTTTTTTTTTTTACGGAGTCTTGCTCTGTTGCCCAGGCTGGAGTGCAGTGGCACAATCTCAGCTCACTGCAACCTCCGCCTCCTGGATTCAAGTGATTCTCCGCCTGTCCCACCCTCCCAAGTAGCTGGGATTACAGGTGCACACCACCACACTCAGCTAATTTTTGTGTTTTTTGTAGAGATGGGGTTTCACCATGTTGGCCAGGCTGGTGTCGAACTCCTGGGCTCAGGTGATCCACCAGCCTCAGCCTCCCAAAGTGTTGGGATTATAGGTGTGAGCCACTGCACCCAGCCTCAATATGATTTTATTCTATTTCAGAGTAAATCAGTTTTTAAATTCAGTTTATATTATTGCGACTAAACATTGTTACCAACTGAACTATGTAGTATACTCAGGTTATTCTGCCTTCTTTGCATAAGACTTTTTTTTCTGAGATTAAAATGATCTTGTTTTTTGTAAGTTTAGTTTTCGAAGAAATTGTCATTAATTCATTTCCCCAATCATGTAATTGAGGGATGAAGCTCCTGGTATAAAATAGCACAGCTGGCCGGGCACGGTGGCTCGTGCCTGTAATCCCAGCACTTTGGGAGGCCAAGGCGGGTAGATCATGAGGTCAGGAGATCAAGATCATCCTGGCTAAAATAGTGAAAGCCCGTCTCCACTAAAAATACAAAAAATTAGCCGAGCATGGTAGCACATGCCTGTAGTCCCAGCTACTGGGGAGGCTGAGGCAGGAGAATCGCTTGAACCCAGAAGGGGGAGGTTGCAGTGAGCCAAGATCGCGCCACTGCACTCCATCCAGCCTGGGTGACAGAGCAAGACTCCATCTCAACATAAAAAATAAAAAATAAAAAATAAAATAGCACAGTTGTCTATTTTATATTCTGAGAATGAAAATCAATCCTTCAGAAATACAGTCAAATACTTCAAATACCTGTATCCCACCTGGCAAAAGTCAATTCCTAAATGTGCCTATCGCTGAAATTCATATGACTCTGAGGTGAAAAGTTGATCAAGTTATAGGAGCCAGAAACCCTCCTGAAGGAATTGCTTGGGCAGTTTTGAATATTCCTGCCCAATAAGTGATTTCTTAAATAATTTACAAAACATCCATAAAATGGAATACTAAGGTAATCACTAAATGCTAAATTTTAGAAAACAGTTAAGGAAAGGAAAATATTCAAGATACACTAAAAGAAAAAAAAAAACAGATTACAACACAATATATGATTAGATTTTTTAGACCATTAAAGGGAAACAGACTTGAACAGATGAAAAAACTCCTAAAATTTCAATTCTGAGATTTTAAAATTAATTTTAAAATCAGATTTAAATCTCAACTTAACTGAAATTTCCATAATCTGAAGAACTAAATATTTGGAAGGTTTGTCAAACCAGAAGTGGATCATTGGGATGTCACTTTTCTCCATACATCCATGGAGTTATAATCCACAAGAGCAGTGAATTCCTCTTTTAAACTTAGTTTAAACTTAGTTTAAAAGAGGTCTTAGTTTCTTTCAAATTTTCTATGAGTCTTAGCCTATTCTTCAGAGATAAAACCACCAGCTGGGTACGGTAGCTCACATCTGTAATCCAGCACTTTGTGAAGCTGAGGCGGGTGAATTGTCTGAGGTCAGGAGTTTGAGACCAGCTTGGTCAACATAGTGAAACCCTGTCTCTACTAAAAATACAAAAATTAGCGGGACGTGGTGGCGGGTGCCCATAATCCCAGCTATTTGGAAGGCTGAGGCAGGAGAATCGCTTGAACCCGGGAGGCGGAGGTTGCAGTGGGCCAAGATCACGCCATTGCACTCCAGCCTGGGCAATAAGAGCGAAACTCCACCTCAAAAAAAAAGAAGAAAGAAAGAAAGAAATAAAACCACACACAAAACCACACAGGCTTGTAGAAATATTTTGGGAAAATATGCTCTAAAACATTAATAATGATTATTTCTGGACACTGGGACCATTGATCATTTTAATTTTCTTTATAGGTTCCGTAGTTACTAATATTTCACAAGCTTGTATTAATTCTATCATCAGAAATATTTTAAAAAGCTATTCCAAAAAATTTTAAATGACTGGGAAGATAGGCTACCTTAAAGTCATTAAGAAAATTGGGGCCGGGCACGGTGGCTCAAGCCTGTAATCCCAGCACTTTGGGAGGCCGAGACGGGCGGATCATGAGGTCAGGAGATCGAGACCATCCTGGCTAACATGGTGAAACCCCGTCTCCACTAAAAAATACAAAAAACTAGCCGGGCGAAGTGGTGGGTGCCTGTAGTCCCAGCTACTTGGGAGGCTGAGGCAGGAGAATGGCGTGAACCCAAGAGGAGGAGCTTGCAGTGAGCTGAGATCCAGCCACTGCACTCCAGCCTGGGTGACAGAGCAAGACTCCGTCTCAAAAAAAAAAAAGAAAAGAAAAGAAAAAAAAAAGAAAATTGGGAGCCAGGTGCAGTGGCTCATGCCTGTAATCCCAGCACTTTGGGAAGCTGAGGTGGGTGGATCACTTGAGGTCAGGAGTTCAAGACCAGCCTGACCAACATGGTGAAACCTCATCTCTACTAAATACAAAAAATTAGCCGGGCATGGTGGTGGGCACCTGTAATCCCAGCTACTTGGGAGTCTGAGGCAGGAGAATCGCTTGAACCCAAGAGGCGGAGGTTGCAGTGAATTGAGATTTCGGCATTGCACTCCAACCTGGGCAACAAAAGCGAAAACTCTGTCTCAGAAAAAAAGAAAAGAAAAGAAAAGAAAATTGTGATTAAACAGGCCCTGCACAAATGGTGACAACAAGGAAATCAGTGTGACTGAAAAAATAATTTCTACCAGTTCCTGAGTATTGTATCTCATCAAGACCCTGAAATAGTTCTGTGAAGGATTACAATCCTGGTTCATGTCATTTCCAAAGTGATTAAGAGCCAGTAAGACTGGCAGACAAGAACAAATGCTCATTTCACAGCAGCTACTTAATAACTTGCATTTACCCCTCCTCAGCTCCAATAAATAAGTATCATTAAATACCTAGCGATTTAATATTTAAATATTACATTGTTGCAAAACAACTTAAAAATCTTTATTGTAGTATTCAACATTCATATGTAACAACAATTTCTTGGCGATTCTTATTTACATCAATACTTCTCAATATTACATTATACTTTTTTCTTATGACTAAATATAAACACAATTCTTATTATTGCATAACATTCCATCACATGGAGTGTGATTTAAGTATTTCCATATTGCTAGATATTAATTTTATAAAAGAACATCCCAAAAATCACTCCCAGTTATGTCATTTCTAGACAGCGATTATCAATGTCGTTGGAGCTTATATAACTCCGATAATACCATGCAATGACAGGCTTCCTCGCTCCCCTGCAAAAATTAACCATTTACAAATACATACAACAATTCTGGACATAATCTTAAAATATCTTTGTTGCCCTGAAAGCTCATAAACAGAGTCCAAAGACTTATGTTACCAATCCCTGTTCTGGTCCACTGGAGGGTCTGGCTCATTTTCCTGCTTGCAAGCATCCATCATAATTACCTTCACATTTGCATTGCTCTTGGGAATAAACAAAGCTGACAGGGAATGACTGAGCATCATCATTTTAATGCCAGTGGCTAGGATGAATTAAGGACTCACTATGTGCCAGGCACTCTCCTAAAAGCTTCAAAAATATTAATTCATGTCATCTTCAAAACAACACCGTGAAGTATACACTATTACAATTATGAGGAAACTGAAGCACAGATTGCTTAAACTCGTTTAGCTTTAAGTGGCAGTCAGGATTCAAATCCACTTAATCTAGGCTCGAAATACTTAATCACTACACTACACTACACCTCTGTCAGTCGATCCAAAGATATACCCAAAATAAACTCATGCTGCCAAACCTCAAATCACATCTGGCTGGTACCAAAAACTTCTACTCACGAATTTCCTGGAAAAAAAGACATCATCTTTCTACCCCGGAATCATTAAAACATATCTAAACCCTAGAAAACTCCTTAACAAAAACCAAGTATGAACATTAATCTCAAGCAAGGGTATTTCCATATCATCAAAATCCTTAGAAAAACAGCGCTCACAGAGTAACTGAACATACAGCTCACAGTTAACTAACCACGTAACTAACTATAGAACAGCATGAAGTAGGCACTAAAAAAGGGAAATCTATTAATTAGGTCCCCTGTCGTTAACCAGGTAGGGAAATCCTAAGGCCCAAATCAATGAATAAATAGATCATTCTCAAGCAGGATTTTAAACGGAAGGAAGTCGAATGCATTTCACAGAAACAAAGCAGCAGCGCGAACTCACACGGAACCGGCTTTTAGAAGAGCAGCAGCGATTCGTTTTTCTCAGGCGCCTCCTCTGGAAACCGGCAGGGCTGGGGAAGCAGACACAGTTCAGGACATCCCAGGCTTTTCTTGATTGGAACTCCCCCTCCACGCTTCCCTGGCCCCAGCGAACCGCCACCTGCATGCACAAATGGAAACGACAGGGCAGAGGATCCGCAGTCACCCGCGTCTGGGTTCGAAGTTCCGGGTACGCTGTAGTTCCATACCCAGTTGCCCACGCCCCGGGACCACCCACTGTGTCTTTTCGGAACTGTCCAGGTGTCTTCCCATTACCCCAGACACCCGCCCCAAATCTAGGTCCCAGCGTTTTGCAAGGGACCTTCATCTTGGGGCGTTCACCTGTGACTTCCCTCTTGGACCTTTTCGCTACGGCAGAGCCTAAGTGGCTGAAGAGCGGAAGAGGATGCGTGGGGCCTGGGTCTCCAATTGCACCATAGGCCGCACCCACGAACCGGGCCCGGCACAATTACTGCCGTCCGGGCCTCCAGGCCTCAGGGCTGCAGAAGCTCAGTCCCGGGAAAAAACGCACAGCGGCCTGAGGCTCCATAGGAACCTTTTCTCCCCCACCGGTCCTGCCTGCAAAATAACCCACCCCGCGCTCTTTTCCCTCAGAAAAGCAGCGGCCACAGCGGCGCCCGGCTCCCAGCTCCGGCCTCACCGGACTCCCAGGATCGTCCAGCCCTGGAGTCAGCCGCGCCAGAATACGGGAGAGCGCCTGTCTCGGTCTCGAATGCGCAAGCGCGCGGGGGGCGGAGGCAAGTCCCGCGGCTGCTCCAGAGCGGGAGGGGTGCGTGGGGCAGGGTCTCGGCAGGGATAGTGCGGCGGGGGAGGTGCACCCAGAGGGGCCGTAGTGTCCGTTGCCTCAGGCCTCTACCTCTAATGGGGGCCCTGTGACTGACCAGTGCCATTAAAGATAATCCGGGCCTGCTCCCCTGTGGACACTGCGGTCCAAAACTTAAAAAACCAACATTTCGGCTTTTTATTTTTCATTTGGTTCTCAGCTCGGCGCCAGGCGGAGGCTGCGAGCCCGGCCCCGCCCCCAGCGACGCCTCACTGGATCCTTTGGAAATCGGCTTCTGCTCGGAGTACGCAAGCGCGCGGGGCGAACCTGGGGGCTCTTCAGGGAGCAAGGGAGACGCGTGGGGCCGCACCTGCCGAGGGGTCGGGAGATTTGGAGGTGGGTGGAGGTTGGCTACAGGATCCCGATGGGGATGGAGTGTCCAAACCTAGGCCTGTAGCCGTGACCCTGGCAGTGAGCTGGATGGAGGAAACCCCAGTGTGGCGAGCCTGGACCAAGGCGCGGCGCGTGTTCCCTGTGGTGTTTGCTGAGTGACGGCCGCCGCGCCCCCGCGCACCTGGACCGAGTGCCTGGCCGCAGGCGGAGTAGTGTTTCCGGGCACGGGGGGTGATGAGTGCGCGTGTGCCGTTCTCCTGCAGGGGATTGTGATGGTGCAGAGAAAGCTGCGCGGTGGTGCCTGACTCTGATGCCGGCTGTAGGGGTCTCTGGGATCTGTGCGGTTTGTGTCTGCGTTTGTGACGTACCTGAGATCGGATCTGTGACTGTGGCTCTGCCTCGTCCCGTGTTATTTCCAGAATGCTTTTGCTAGGGCAGCGCTTCTGGTTCTGGTTTTCCATGGAGACGGTTTGTGGGTCTCTACGAAACTGAGTGTTGGGATTTTGATTATCTGCATCTGGCCCTTGTGTACCCTCAGGACTGTGGTGTTAGGCAAGTAAAACAATTGCAGGAAAAAAAATTGGAAAGGAATAAGGTTGCTGTTACTTCCAAATGATGGACTTGTAGGACTGTCAGAAAATTGAAATGAATAGGACACCATGAAACGGGAGAGGCATTTTATTTTCTTCCATACCTGGACTTGGAATATTCTAACAAATGAGATTTGTTTTTTCTCCTTTGTTCCTAGATGAACTCTTGGATAAATTCAATGTCTCCAAGCATTCTGGTCTCAAACTCCTGACCTCAGGTGATCCTGAGACCATCCTGGCCAACATGGTGAAACCCTGTCTCTACTAGAAATAAAAGTAGCTGGGCGTGGTAGCGTGTGTCTGTAATCCCAGCTACTGGGGAGGCTGAGGCAGGAGAAGAGCTTCAACCAGAGAGTCAGAGGTTGCAGTGAGCCGAGATCACACCGCTGCACTTAAGCCTGGCAACAGAGCGAGACTCCATCAAAAAAAAAAAAAAAAAAAAAAGCAAAAATTAGCTGGGCATGGTGGCACATGCCTGTAATCCCAGCTACCCAGGAGGCTGAGACAGGAGAATCGCTTGAACCCAGGAGGTGGAGATTACAGTGAGCCGAGATCGCAACACTGTACTCCAACCTGGGCGACAGAGCAAGACTCCATCTCAAAAAAAAAAAAAAAAAAAAAAAAAAGGATTGTTGACTCAAGAGTCATGGAGGTATGACCTGGCAGTCAGCATTTGGGGACTTGCAAATGTCTGTGCATGGCTGAAGTGTGGGGTGCCTTTAGGGAGTGGGGAGGGGAACTACAGGGATAAACAAAGGCTAGATTTTCAAAGACCCTGAATGCCAGGCACAGGAACTTGAACTTCATTCTGTAAGTAATGAGGAGCAGGAATTAAACACGGGAGGACTGGGTTCATATTTATGCTTCCGAAACATCACAATGATCTTGATAGAGAGAGTGCGAAGTAGAGACAGGACCACTGGGCATCTAGATCATGGTTAGCCTGGGCATGGCTATCCCTGAGAACTTATAGGCTCTTATCAGCCTCTTTAAATAAGCATGATGGCATCACAGTCTTTGATCTGCAGAACTCTGAGGCTGCAGCATTTCCACTGGCATGAGGCTGAAACTTCGGTATATGATTCACAGTTCAAGGTCCTCCAGCTGTATCCGTCTTTTCTTACTAAGTCCAGATGGACTCATCAGGGTTGGTGATGTAAGAATTGGTCTGGCCACTTGATGTCTTCCAAGAAATGATGTTTCCAGCACTTGAATGCAACCATAGAGAAGATCCCATTGTCCACCGGGTTCTGTTGGCTGCTGACCCTTCGCTGTTCCACTTGGCTCCTAAAGGAGAGACACAGCTGCCCACTGTCCCCCTGATGGACAGATGGGACTGGAGGTGTTCACTGATAGTGTCTGGGCTGCTTCTGTAGTCTATCTCACCCTCACCTCTCTGGGATGTTCCCTGCTCACTGGAAGGGAGAAAAGAGCAGGTGAGATTATTTGGATGGCTTTCCATAGCTGGCTGTTGTCTCCAGAGCCTCACCCTTCTGGTAATTGACCATTTAATTTATTGCCTACTGAGACACCTTTAAAAGTCAAAGGAGTCCAGGTGCAGTGACTCACACCTGTAATCCCAACACTTTGGGTGGATCACTTGAGGTCTGGAGTTCGAGACCAGCCTGGCCAACATGGTGAAACCCCATCTCTACTAAAAACACAAAAATTAGCCAGATGTGGTAGTACACGCCTGTAATCCCAGCTACTCAGGAGGCCGAGGCAGGAGAATTGCTTGAACCTGGGAGGCAGAGGTTCCAGTGAGCTGAGATCACGCCACTGCACTCCAGCCTGGGTAATAGAGTGAGACACCCTGATTCTCAAAAAAAAAAAAAAAAAAAGTCTCTAAGAGGCTGTGAGTGGTGGCTCATGCCTGTAATCCCAGCACTTTGGGAGGCCTAGGCAGGGGGATTGCTTGAGCTCAGGAGTTGGAGACCAGCCTGGGTAACATAAGATCCCATCTCTACAAAAAATTTTAAAAATTAGCCAGGCATGGTGGCATGCACCTGTAGTCCCAGCTACTCAGGAGGCTGAAGTGGGAGAATGGCTTGAGCCTAGGAAATTGAGGCTGCAGTGAGCTATGGTCATGCCACTGCACTCCAGACTGGGTAATAGAGTGAGACCGTGTCTCGGAAATAGAAAAATAAAAATAAAATAGTCTCTAAGAAAGTTTAATACGGGAATTGAATAACAATTGTTTAAGTAAAAAAAAAAAAAGTGCAAAAAATAGGAAGTACACTTAGATGCATACATGTGCTTGTGTGAGGATGGGATATCTGGAATGAGATGCAAGAAAATGATTAAGTGGATTTCTGGGACTGGGGTAGAACTGAGGGACTGGTCAGAATAGGAGAGAAACCTACCTTTAATGTGACACCCTTTTTAACAGTTTGATTTGCTTTTGAAAAGAACTATGAACATGCCTTACCTTTTCACCAACTATAAAATTATTAGTAAGTATATGGAGAGGGATCTTGACAGGAATCTGATGTACTGTCCTATTCCATGAATTTTCCATTCCAGAAGCCCCATGGTCAGCTGGGCATTGCTAGTCAATGGGATGTGGCCTGGTACTGGGTCACTCTGATGCATTAGACATCTGCTTTGCTTCAATTACTGCAGGGTTGCCTTTGAAGACAGACAGAGTTTCCATGCAAGGTACGTGATGCAGGACCAATGATAAGCCTTCTCTTGGAGTAGGAGATGGGACAGTTAGATCTGAGTGAACTCATAAACAGAGTCCTGGTCTGTGAGTGCTGGTTTCGTCTACAGTGATCCGTCCCAGGACTGCTGTGACCCCTGTAGGGAAGGAGCCCACACAGCTGGTGTTGCTGTCTGGAGTAGAATCCTGTGCCCCACTCTTCTCATGTTTGGATATATCTAGTAAACCTCTTGTTTTAATAGCAAGACATTGAGCTGCTAACAACCCATAAAAGGTACAGCCTTACCTTGTTACAGCTCACGCCTGTAACCCCAGCACTTTGGGAGGCCAAAATAGGCGGGTCACCTGAGGTTGAGACTAGCCTGGCCATTATGGTGAAACCCGTCTCTACTAAAAATACACAAATTAGCCAGGCATAGTGGCAGGTGCCTGTAATTCCAGCTACTTAGGAGGCTGAGGCAGGAGAATCGTTTGAACCCGGGTGGCGGAGGTTGCAGTGAGCCAAGATCATGCCACTGCACTCCAGCCTTGGCAACAGACTAAGCCTCTGTCTCAAAAAAAAAAAAAAAAAAAAAAAAAGAGGCACAGCCTTACCTTGCAGGATGTCAGTATGTGAGTAAATTCTTTGACTTGATTTCTCAAGTGGCTACAGAGTAGGGCAGAAATTGCCCTGCCTATTTCACAGAACTGAGGCCCAGACATTTTCAGGGCAGAATTGCAGGGAGAAGAATGGCAGAGCTTGTTGGCTGGGACTTCTCCAGGGGAGGTGTTGCCTGTGCTGGGGACTTGGTGCTGTGGAAGCAGTTGGGAATTTCACTATGAGATCGAAGTGAAGTCATTATTGAGGCATAAATGGAGTGTAAGTGTGGCTTGTACCTGTACGTGCCAGCCCTGGCAAGAGTCTCCGGTCCAGTTGTAGGGGTGCCATAAGCAGTGAACAGCCTCTTTGGCCATGAGGTCCCATTTTTTCCGTTTCCCAGGTTGTTGGTGATGGTTAACTGGACCCAAGATGATGAGAGAGAAGGGAAGCAGGTCCCAGCCACACTCAGAGCTTTGACCTCTGGAGCTCAAAAGATGTGAGACTGTGTGTGCCTCCATGTAGGGAGGGCTCCTTGCACGCTGAAGCTCTTAGTTTACGATTGGGCATATCAATTAACTTGACCCAGTCAAAGTGAATCTCAGAGGTTTATTTTGGAATGCTAGGCAAAGGTGCTCTCCCTCTTGTACTGAAAGGGATATGTCCAGATAGGAGGCCTGGAACTGATGCAGTCATGAGGAAATTAGCCTCAAGTCAAAGCCAAAACACTGGCAAAGGGAGAGCTGAGTGTTCAGTGTTAAAACCTGATGACATAGTGAACATCTTGATCATGCCATACCCGAAGGTCCATTTATCTTTGGATTTTTTGGTTACAAAAGCCAAAAAAAAAGTCATTGATTTTTTTTCTAGATGAACTAGTTTTTACAATGGTTTTAGATTTATATAAGATACAAAGATATGACAATTTCATACACCCACACCCAATTTCCCCTAGTAGTAACATTTACCTTAATATGATACATTTGTTACAATTAAGCAATACTATCAAGAAACAGGGCTCATATCTGTAATTCCAGTGCTTTGGGAAGCTGAAGCAGGATGATAACTTGAGGCCAGGAGTTTGAGACCAGCCTGGGCAACATATCTAGACCCTGTCACTACCAATTTTTTTTTTTTTTTTTTTAATTAGCCAGGCATGGCTAGTCCTGTGGCTCATGCCTGTAATCCCACGACTTTGGGAGGCTGAAGTGGGCAGATCGCCTGAGCCCAGAAGTTTGAGATGAGCCCGGACAACATAGCAAAACCTTGTCTCTACTAAAAAGACAAAAACAGCTGGGCATAGTGACACGCACCTGTGGTCTCTGTTACTTGGGAGGCTGAGGCAGGAGGATTGCTTGAGCCCAGGAGGTGGAAGTTGCAGTGAGCCGAGATTGTGCTACTGCACTCCAGCCTGGATGACGCAGCAAGACTCTGTCTCTTAAAAAAAAAAAAGAAAAAAAAAAAAAAAAAATTAGGCATGGTGGCATGTACATGTACCTGTAATCCCAATACTTTGCGGGGCTGAGGTGGGCAGATGACAAGGTCAGGAGTTTGAGACCAACCTGGCCAATATGGTGAAACCTGCCTCTACTAAAAATACAAAAATTAGCCGGGTATGGTGGTGGGCACCTGTAGTCCCAGCTACTGGGGAGGCTGAGGCAGAAAACTGCTTGAACCCGGGGGAGCAGAGGTTGTAGTGAGCTGGGATTGCGCCACTGCACTCCAGCCTGGGTGACAGAGTGAGAGTCCGTCTCAAAAACAAAACAAAACAAAAAAATTAAGTATGACATAGTGTTTACCAAGCAAATTTGGAGGGAACAGATAATCACCATTAAATGTTTATCAATTATTTCTATGAGATTAAATTACCTTTTCCAAAAATGGACAATGGTAGCATCCCAAAATTTTATGATACACTTTTATGTCTTTTGTGTCTTTTTGTGAAGCTATCTATAAAAATTACCAGTAATCAATTAAAATTAGAAGACAAGGAAAGAAAAGTGAATATTGAATAGGCAACTTAAATGAAAATTACATAAAAGCATTGATGGACATAAACCTTGCCAGTAATTCCAAAAGTGAGTAGACTGTTACAGTTGAAACTTGTTTTTAATTAGAAGATACTAATCTGGGCCGAGCACGGTAGCTCACGCCTATAATCCCAGCACTTTGGGATTACAAGGTGGGTGGATCATGAGGTCAGGAGTTTGAGACAAGCCTGGCCAACATGGTGAAACCCTATCTCTACTAAAAATACAAAAATTAGTGGTTTTGATAATTTACATAGCTTAAAAGGATCTTCCCACAAAACACTTAGTAATTAAAAAGGGGAATATAATTTTAGAATGGACAAACCTGGTCAACAATACTTTAATCAAGAGATAAAAGGATTACTGATGCCCTAATATGATGCACTATTAATAAAAAGGGAAAGGCTGGGGCGTGGTGGCTCATGCCTGTAATCCCAGCACTTTGGGAAGCCGAGGCAGGCAGATTACCTGAGGTCAGGAGTTTGAGACCAGCCTGGCCACTATGGTGAAACCCTATCTCTACTAAAAATACAAAAATTAGCTGGGCATGGTGGTGTGCACCTGTAGTCCCAGCTACTTTGGAGGCTGGGGCAGGAGCATTGCTTGAACTGGGAGGCAGAGGTTGCAGTGAGCCGAGATCGCATCACTGCACTCCAGCCTGGGCAACAGAGCAAAACTCCATCTGAAAAATAAAACTAAACTAAACTAAAATAAAATGGAAAAGCACTATGTATATAGTACAGTATGGTATAATGTAGTACAGTATATGGGTGCCAAAGCATACATAATGTGAATCTAATAGGAAACATTAGAAAAGCTCAAATGGAATGATATTTTATAAAACAAATGGCCAGTATTTTCCAAAAATGTCAATGTCATAAACGACAAAAAAGACTGAGGAACTGCTCCACTATGCCTGGCCAAAAAAATTTTTTTTTTTTTTTTTTTTGAGACGGAGTCTCGCTCTGTTGCCCAGGCTAGAGTACAGTGGCCGGATCTCAGCTCACTGCAAGCTCCGCCTCCCGGGTTTACGCCATTCTCCTGCCTCAGCCTCCCGAGTAGCTGGGACTACAGGCGCCCGCCACCTCGCCCAGCTAGTTTTTTGTATTTTTTAGTAGAGACGGGGTTTCACCGCGTTAGCCAGGATGGTCTCGATCTCCTGACCTCGTGATCCGCCCGTCTCGGCCTCCCAAAGTGCTGGGATTACAGGCTTGAGCCACCGCGCCCGGCCCAAAAAAAATTTTTTAATAGAGTCAAGGTCTCACTATCTTGCCCAGGCTGGTATCAAACTCCTGCCCTCAAACAATACACCAGCTGTGGCCTCCCAAAGCACTGGGATTACAGGCGTGAGCTACCATGCATGGCCTAAGTAATAGTTTTTAAAGGTAATTATCTCTGATTAATTTTTCAGTGTTTTTGAAGGGATCATTTTTTCAAGGGCCTTTCTAAAGGTCTTTCCCCATATCTAACATTCATAGGGTTTCTGATTAGTATGACTTACCTGATACTGAGTTAACTGAAAGTTATGATCAAAGTCTCTGCCACATTCCTTATATTCTCTGCATTTCTTTCCAGTGAAATTTCTCTGATGTTTCATATGCTTTGTGCAAAATGTAAAGGTGTTCCCACACATTTCATTAAGCTTATCACTGGCATGGATTCTTCCTTGTGGAGTAAAGTTTTCACATTTTGGCTTCATTCAGACTTTCTATAGCTTCAGGTTTGGCTTCATTCAAATTTTCTATGCCTCAGTGAACCAACTAGAAACATTTACATATTTACATATTCCTGTAAAATGAAGTTTACCATAGATGTTTTAAATTTAATTGAAATACTAAACAAAACATTTCATACTATTAAAAATGCCTGTAAAATTTCCATGTTCCCAATTGCACTGATGCATTTATGTCATTTCTCTTACTTATCTCAATCATAACTGGCAAATCTAGTCTATATTACAAGTTGTTTCAAACCACTTTTAGATAAAGTCCACTTTCTGTTTAGCTCATTAATTTTTCTTTTTAAGTAATTCAAATTCATTGAATAAACAAATTGATTTATGTAATACGTTTCCAGTGTTAATTTTGGGTTTGTTACTTTTCTGCTTGAATGTTTATTTATTCAAATGAGCCACATACCTCAGGTTTTATTACGCAACACTCACTATCTTTCATATCTAAATAGCCTATTATTTCAGATAGCATTTTTCACTTAATCCAAGAACTATATATGGTGGTGGTTATAAACTGCAAATTTTAAAAATTCATCTTCTGTATCTACTTGTCTTATTTGTTTGTTTTTTTCAGATAAAGCCTCACTCTGTCGCCCAGGCTGGAGTGCAGTGGTGAGATCTCGGCTCACTGCTACCTCCATCTCCCAGGCTGAAGCAGTTCTCCTGCCTCAGCTTCCCGAGTAGCTGGGACAAGTGCACACCACCATACCTGCCTAATTTTTGTATTTTTAGTAGAGATGGGGTTTTGTCTTGTTGGCCAGCCTGGTCTCAAACTCCTGACCTGAAGTGATCCACCTGCCTCAGCCTCCCAAAGTGCTAAGATTAGAGGCGTGAGCCACCACACCCGTCTTGAGTTATTGTCAGAAAATGTACACTACTTTTTGAAACTTGCTTCAGATATATCACTTCTCATATCAACTTTAATCTAAAAAATTTACTTAATACATCCATTCAGTGTTTCCAGAGTGAATTTTCTGATTCAACTAAAATAAATTTAAATGAATGTTTCCTCATACTCACTATATTCTAATAATTTTCATTCCAGAATAAATTATCATAGATTTGCAATCAGAGAAATTGTGATGGTGGATTTCATTATATTAATAAAATCTGCATAATTAAATGTTCTTATATAAATATTCTAAGAGTAGTAATGAAGGTCATAATCATGACAGCCAATATTTACTGAATAGTTTCTATTTACCAATAACTGTTCCAAAAGTCTTTGGATAAACTCATTTAATCTTCACAATAACCTTATCACAATGTAAGAAATTTGTAATCTGAAGTATACAAAGTTTAAATTACTTGGTAATAAAACAGACGTGGAAACTGGTGAAAGTATAATGATGCTGAAAAAGATTCATATTATAGATAAACACTTTTCTACATTCACAAAGTCAACATGATTATTCTCTATATGCTATTCTCTATGATAAGTCAAATATAATTTTAGTGGTAATATTGTTTTTATTAGTAATTGATACTCTTTTTCCCATATAAATTTGATGCTTAATAAATTGTGAATTATGAGGCAAAAACTTTACACAGTCACTGGATTTTCTTCACTTACAGATTGTTTGCTATTCCATAATTGATAATTTTAAAATCAAGCGTTTCCTGTAGCAGTCACACTATATATTATATAATATTGAGTATATTGTGAGAGTAGATCTTTACACATATCTGGCTTTCATAAGGCTTCTCACCAGTACAAATTCCATTATGAAAAAGCATAGCTGAGGGACAGGTAAAAGTGTTTCCCACATTTCTTATATTTCTGAAGTTTCTCGCAATGTGAATTTGGTGATGTTAGGTAAGGATTGTTAAATAAAAAGATGCTATTCAAATACATAAGATTTATCCCTTCATGTATGTATTCTCTGGTGCTTTTTCAGCTGTGAAAGACAAGAAAAGGCCTTCTCACATTCGTTACATTCACAGGGTTTCTCACCAGTATGACTTCTTTGATGTTGAGTAAGATGCGCCCTCTGCCTAAAGGCCTTCCTACATTCCTACATTCAAAGGGTTTCTCACCAGTGTGAATTCTCTGGTGTTGAATAAGAGTTGAACAATCAATAAAGAATTTTCTACATTCTTTACACTGGTATGGCTTCTCTCCAGTGTGAATTCTCTGATGTCTATTAAAGTAGGAAACACAAACAAAGGCCTTCCCACATTCCTTACACTCATATGGTTTTTCACCAGTATGAATTCTTTGATGTTGAGTAAGATGTGTTCTCTGCCTAAAGGCCTTGCTGCATTCCTGACATTCATAGGGTTTCTCATTAGTATGAGTTCTACAGTGTTGAATAAATGTTGAATAACAAAGAAAAGCTTTCTTACAATCTTTACATTCAAAGGGTTTGTCACCAGTGTGAATTCTCTGATGTGTATTTTTTTTTTTTTTTTTTGAGACGGAGTCTTGCTCTGTCACCCAGGCTGGAGTGCAGTGGCCGGATCTCAGCTCACTGCAAGCTCCGCCTCCCAGGTTCACGCCATTCTCCCGCCTCAGCCTCCCGAGTAGCTGGGACTACGGCGCCCGCCACTTCGCCCGGCTAGTTTTTTGTATTTTTTAGTGGAGACGGGGTTTCACCGTGTTAGCCAGGATGGTCTCGATCTCCTGACCTCGTGATCCACCCGTCTCGGCCTCCCAAAGTGCTGGGATTACAGGCTTGAGCCACCGCGCCCGGCCTGTGTATTTTTTAAAAATTTTTTTGAGATGGAGTCTCACTCTGTCGCCCAGGCTGGAGTGCAGTGGCACAATCTCAGCTCACTGCAAGCTCCGCCTCCTGAGTTCAGGCCATTCTCCTGCCTCAGCGTCCCGGGTAGCTGGGACTACAGGCACCTGCCACCACGCCCGACTAATTTTTTGTATTTTTAGTAGAGACTGGGTTTCATCATGTTAGCCAGGAGGGTCTCGATCTCCTGACCTCATGATCTGCCCGTCTCAGCCTCCCAAAGTGCTGGGATTACAGGTGTGAGCCACCGCGCCTGGCCTCTGATGTTTATTCAAGTTTGAAAGCCAAGTAAAGGTCTTTCAACATTCCTTACATTCATAGGGCTTCACACTGGTATGAATTCTTTGATGTTAAGTAAGAGTTAGATAATTATTAAAAACCTTCCTACATTCTTTACACTGATAGGGTTTCTCTCCTTTGTGAATTCTCTGATGTCTATTAAAATCAGAAAAACAAATGAAGGCATTCCCACATTCATTACATTCATAGGGTTTCTCCCCACTGTGAATTCTCTGGTGTCTCATTAGATGTGCACTCTGCTTGAAGGCCTTGCATTCCTGACATTTATAAGGTTTTTCATTAGTATGTGTTCTCTGATGTTGAACAAGTGTTGAACAGGATATAAAAGCTTTCCCACACTGCTTACATTCATAAGGCTTCTCACCAGTGTGAATTCTCTGGTGTTGAATAAGAGCTGAGCAATTATTAAAGGCTTTACCACATTCTTTACATTCACAGGGTTTTTCAACAGTGTGAATTCTCTGATGTCTGTCAAAGTCAGAAGCACAAGTGAAAGCCTTCCCATGTTCCTCACACTCATATGGTTTCTCACCAGTATGAGTTCTTTGATGTTGAGTAAGATGTGCACTTTGCCTAAAAGCCTTTTTACATTCCTGACATTCATAAGATTTCTCATTAGTATGAGTTCTCTGACGTTGAGTAAGTGTTGAGCAATTATTGAATGCTTTGCCACAGTCCTTACATTCAAAGGGCTTCTCACCAGTGTGAATTCTCTGATGCTGAATAGAAGTTGAGCAATTGTTAAATGCCTTCCCACATTCTTTACATTCATAAAGTCTCTCACCAGTGTGAATTTTCTGATGTCTATTAAAATCAGAAACAGAAGCAAAGGCCTTCCAACATTGCTTACGTGTATAAGGTCTCTCACCAGTATGAATTCTTTGATGCCGAATAAGATGTGCACTCCACCTAAACATCTTTCTACATTCCAGACATTCATAGGGTTTCCCATTAGTATGAGTTCTCTTATGTTGAATCAATGTTGAACAACATAAACGCTTTCCCACATTCTTTGCATTCATATGGTTTCTCACCAGTGTGAATTTGATTATGTTGGGTAAGGTAGGCACGCTTTCTTATGGGCTTTCCACATATCTGACATTCAAAGGGTTTCTGATTAGCAGTGACTTATTTGATATTGAGTTAGTTGAAAGTTACAAGCAGTCTTTGCCACATTCTTTAAATATATTGCATTTCTTTGCAGTAAAATTTGATGTTTCATATGATTTGTGTAAAATACAGAGGCATTGCCACACATTTCATCAAGCTTGTCAATGATACAAATTCTTCCCTGTTGAGTAAGATTTTCACATTTTTTATGTTCATAGAGTTTCTTTCCAGTATGAATTATTTGATTTAGAAGAAAAGATGTAGGCTGGATGAATTCAGATAATATTTTTTCAAATGGCACAGTTACATGCCTGAAATATTCCTCTTTAGTTTCCTGTTGTCTCTTAAAGAGTCCTTTGCATTTCCAATCATTTCCAAAACAAGATTCCTTGAGGCAAGAACTTCTGACTCTTTCTATTATTTTCCATTTTAACGATTCTTTTTCAAAAGTGCCATTCTTAAGAGGTAACTCCTTGGTGTCATACCTAGACAGCATATCTGAAAGAAAATAAACATCATGTTTTCCTCTTTTATGAGAAATAAAACTTCATAGAAGCAGTCAAACAGATAATAATGCCCTTAAGCAAGAAATGGCTTAGATAACTTTCAAATCTTGGCATTTAATTTGCAGAAAAAAATTGTTGGAGTGGCTATATTAATATCAGATAAAACAGACTTCCAGTTACTCTATTATCAAAGATAATTTTCTCATAATGATAAAAGAGTTATTATAACTCATCAGGAAGACTTGGCAATCAGAAATGTGTAGGTGCAGAATAACAGAGCCTGAAAATATGTGAAGCAAAAATTGACAAAAGTAAAGGAGGAAATAGATAATTCTACAATCATAGTTGGAGATTTTGCAACCATCTCTCAATAACTGATAGAACAACTGGAACATCCCCCTCCCCCAGAAAATGAGTAAAGTAATAGAGGATATAAGTAACACTGTCCACCACCTTCAACTAGTTGATATATACAAAACATAATATCAAAAACTGTAGAAGGTACATTCTCTTCAAATACCTATACACATTCAAAATAGACCATATGCTGGGCCATTAAACAAGTCTCAATATACTAAAAAGGATTAGTGTCACACAGAATATTTTCTTTGATCACAATGGAACTCAGTTTGAAATTATTAAAATATCTGGAACCTGTCCCCCAATACTTGAAAACTAAACAATACACATGGAAATTAGAAAATACTTAGAAATTAACAATATAAAAGTATAGCACAGCAAAATGTATGTTATATAGCTAAGGTAACATTTACAGTGAAACCTATAGCTTTAAATGCTTATATTAGAAAAGAAAAAGGTATAAAATAAACAACCTAAGGTTTTACTGCAAGACAGTACATAAAGAAGAGCAAAGTAGGCCAGGGAGGTGGCTCATGCCTGTAATCCCAGCACTTTGGGAGGCCGAGGCAGGTGGATCACGAGGTCATGAGTTCGAGACCAGCCTGGCCAATATGGTAAAACCCCATCTCTACTAAAAATATAAAAATTAGCTGGATGTGGTGGTGGGTGCCTGTAATCCCCAGCTACTTGGGAGGCTGAGGCAGGAGAATTGCTCGAACCCGGGAGGCAGAGGTTGCACTGAGCTGAGATCACGCCGTTGCACTCCAGCCTGGGCAACAAGTGCAAAACTCCATCCCACAAAAAAAGAAGAGAAAAGAAGAGCAAAGTAAATCTATAATTAGTAGAAGTAAAGAATAAGAATAAGAGCAGAAATCAATAAATGGGAAAACTGACCATAACAGAGATAATTAATAGTCAAAAACTGGTTTATGGAATAGATCAGCAAGCTTGATAAACCTTGGAGCCAAACTACCAATAAAAAACAAGAAGAAAAACACAAATATCAGGAATCAAAAGGGGTTTCTAATTATAAATCCTACATAAATAATAAAAGTAATAATTAAACAGATAATTACATAAGAAAATATTATGAACCATTTAATATCCAGAAGTATAAGGAGTTAGAGAAAATTGACACATTCCTTGAAAGACACAAACTACTAAGGATCAATCAAGAAAAAATAAGTAAAACAAGCCAGGTGCAGTGGCTCACATCTGTCATCCCAGCACTTTGGGAAGCCAAGACAGATGGATCACTTGAACCCAGGACTTTGACACCAGGCTGGCCAAAGTGACGAAACCCTATCTCTACAAAAAATACAAAAATTAGCCCAGCATGGTAGTGTATGCCTGTAGTCCCAGCTACATGGGAAGCTGAGCCCAGAAAGTTGAGGCTGCAGTGAGATGTAATCATGCCACTGCACTCCAGTCTGAATGACAGAGCAAGACCCTGAAAAGGAAGGAGGGAGGGGAGGAGGGGAGGGAGGGGAGGGAGGGATGAGGGAGGAAGGGAGGAAGGGAGGAAGGGAGGAAGGAAGGAAGGAAGGAAGGAAGGAAGGAAGGAAGGAAGGAAGGAAGGAAGGGAAAATAGCTGTATATTTATCACTGAAGTTGAATTTATAGTAAAAACATTGCCCCAAGGACAAACATGGCCCAATGACTTTAATGGCAAATCGTATCAAATAGTCAAAGAAGAAATAATACCAATGCTACACAAAATCTTTTGGAGTACAGAAATGGTTCACAGCTAATTACAGAAGCCCACCACTACCCTGCAACTAAAACCAAAAAAGCATTCAAAAACTACAAATTTTCCTCATGAATGATCATGCAAAAATCCTTTTAAAATACTAGCAAATAGAATCCAATAATATATATATTAAATCCATAACACAACATCCAATGGCCTTTACCTTATGAAAAAGTCAGCTTAGTATTTGAATATCAATTAATGTAATTCAACATATTAACATATTTTAAGTCAAATGACATGATCACTTGAATAAAAATAGAAAATACTTTTAACAAAATTCAACACAGATTCATCATAAAAATTCTTGCCAAACTATGAACAGAAGGGAACTTACTTTCTCCAGTAAAGGACATCAGTCAAAAATCTACAAGAAATATCGTAGTCAGTAAAAAAAATACTGGCTCGATGCGGTGGCTCATGTCTGTAATCCCAGCACTTTGGGAGGCTGACATGTGCAGATCACTTGAGGTCAGGAGTTCAAGACCAGCCTGACCAACATGGTGAAACCCCATCTCAACTAAAAATACAAAAATTAGCTGGGCATGGTGGCACACGCCTGTAGTGTGCCACTCGGGAGGCTGAGGTAGGAGAATCACTTAAACCCAGGAGGTGGAGGTTGCAGTGAGCCAAGATCACGCCACGGCACTCCAGCCTGCACAAGAGGGTGAGACTCTGTTTCATAATAATAATAATAATAATAAAATATTGAAGTCTTTTTTCCTTAGATCAGAAGCAATGGGAGTGATTAATAGGTTTTATATCTTAATTATGGTGGTTTCATGAGCAAACATGTATACATATAAAGTATACCATTTGAAATACACATCAAAATTTGTCAAACCATATACTTTATAGCATAGCTGGTTCATTATATGTCAATTATGCCTCAATACATCTGCTACCAAAAAAAAGAAAAAAAGTTCTTTGTAAATATTTGAAATACTTCCCATTTGTCAAACTTTTTCTCCCAAGACCTTGGGCCTCTGAGGGAAGGTTTCTACACAATTATCTTAAACAAAAGACATCACCACTCTGACCAGTTTGGGCTTCTCTAAAATGTACTTCTGCTGGGAGTACCCCAACACCCTTACCCACCTGGATACCATCCTGTTTTCCCAGCCATCCAGGGTTCTTTCCCTTGTTACAATAGGGAAATCACTGATGGCTTAGAAATGGCAACTCCTGCTCAAAGAAATAGGATATTAAAAATAAATAAACCGGCCGGGCGCGGTGGCTCAAGCCTGTAATCCCAGCACTTTGGGAGGCCGAGGCAGGTGGATCACGAGGTCATGAGTTCGAGACCAGCCTGGCCAATATGGTAAAACCCCATCTCTACTAAAAATATAAAAATTAGCTGGATGTGGTGGTGGGTGCCTGTAATCCCCAGCTACTTGGGAGGCTGAGGCAGGAGAATTGCTCGAACCCGGGAGGCAGAGGTTGCACTGAGCTGAGATCACGCCGTTGCACTCCAGCCTGGGCAACAAGTGCAAAACTCCATCCCACAAAAAAAGAAGAGAAAAGAAGAGCAAAGTAAATCTATAATTAGTAGAAGTAAAGAATAAGAATAAGAGCAGAAATCAATAAATGGGAAAACTGACCATAACAGAGATAATTAATAGTCAAAAACTGGTTTATGGAATAGATCAGCAAGCTTGATAAACCTTGGAGCCAAACTACCAATAAAAAACAAGAAGAAAAACACAAATATCAGGAATCAAAAGGGGTTTCTAATTATAAATCCTACATAAATAATAAAAGTAATAATTAAACAGATAATTACATAAGAAAATATTATGAACCATTTAATATCCAGAAGTATAAGGAGTTAGAGAAAATTGACACATTCCTTGAAAGACACAAACTACTAAGGATCAATCAAGAAAAAATAAGTAAAACAAGCCAGGTGCAGTGGCTCACATCTGTCATCCCAGCACTTTGGGAAGCCAAGACAGATGGATCACTTGAACCCAGGACTTTGACACCAGGCTGGCCAAAGTGACGAAACCCTATCTCTACAAAAAATACAAAAATTAGCCCAGCATGGTAGTGTATGCCTGTAGTCCCAGCTACATGGGAAGCTGAGCCCAGAAAGTTGAGGCTGCAGTGAGATGTAATCATGCCACTGCACTCCAGTCTGAATGACAGAGCAAGACCCTGAAAGGAAGGGAGG